TTTTACGAAGCATTTTCAAACAGGGCTCCAGTCTGCTAAATTAAGCCGATCGGCAAAGCAAGTTCTCAAATAAGTGTCAGTGCCGGGTAGACGCTCAGTGTGTGTGTGTGTGACGTGTCATCCTTGATTTCGTGACTTAAAATGCGAACAAAGCTCCTTCCCTCATGTAAGCTCTCGAGTGACCTCCTTCTATACCCTGGATCAAGACTGTGTCAGTGTGCTAAAATAAAAAAAATTAACTTTTAGATGAAAATTGCCTAACCTAAGTTTAACAAATGTTCACAGAAATCTAACTTATGGCTTGTTTCTTAAATTATTCGTTGTTCTTCTAGTTTGAATAGTTTTGACACGATCGTAGTTGCAATTGTTCGCCTGTCCAAACTTTCGGACAGGTCTCAGTGTGTGCTACAAAAGCAAACTGTGTAGAGTGAAGAAGGGTGAATATTTGACATGTTTAATTCACTATTTGAGAAAATATATATCAAAGATGTGACTGAATGTAGGCTCATGTGTTGACGCCCTGAATGTTAAGATATATGATAACATTTCAAATATTTAAGTTGGCATTTTTAACAAATAATTTAGCTCACTTGGGAGTATGGGCTGTTGGCAAACTCAGAAGTGACTCCCACGTTGTTGAAGCACTGAGGCCGGTTAAAGTCAAGACCTCTTTCATGCTAAGCACACGTCTATTTACCTTAGTTTTGAAATTGGACAACGTGTCTGTGAATCGAGGTCAGCCGCCAGATGGCGGTTACCATAATGTTTACATTTAGCCAACAACGACAACGCCCACGAAACAACGATTGCAAACGTTACCGACCAATAGCCATCGTTTCTGCTGCCTTTAATTGGAAACCTTGTGAGTGCTCTGCGTAAGATTATGTTATCCACATCGGTGTCTCAAGGCATGGCAAATGCTGTCTTAGCAACGTTGGTATTTTGATTGAGACATTGTGGTCTAATACAGGGTGGGTCAGATGTCACCCTACAATCACTACAGGTTCGAATTTAAGTACACTTTGCAGCAATTATGAGTTGAGCACTTAATGCTATCATACGTTACCGGTGTCACATTGAGTAATTTGCTCATCTACAATTTTCAGGAACAAAATTCGCGCCCAGAGGGGTGGAATGGTAGACACAAATAATTAATAACTGATGCCCAAAGAATGCGAATTCATTGTAACGAAGTTTTGAAAGCACACATCAATGGTAGAAAAATTCGATTAACCCTTGAAAAGAGACAAGGCAGCCAATTATATTCACGGCTTTGGATTAGCGTGTTCATGCTGTGAGGGCTTCATTAGCACTACCTTACAAACCTGCTAGTTGACAGTCCGTAACAATATTACGTTTTTTTCATTTGACCGCCTAAGTCTTTTATAGTTGTGCGCGTGAGTGCATCTCGAACGTCAACTGTAATCGATAATCGATGACATTCGATCAACTCTTGAATACGCTTCACTAGCGCTCGTTTGATGAAAGCTCACTGCAATGCAATGGTATCCAAATACATTGAAGATTAACGTCTATTTGTAACTTTGAAAGCAATTTAATTGTTGAAGCTGCTTTTGCTCGTAGTCCGTAAATATCCACTGGACGAGCTTCACAAGAACTTGACAACTCCCAAAGAACAACTGTAACAGGGATTCATAGTGCCCACTCACGTTCTAATCTTTCAATGATATCCTCCTTGTTCACCAGGGATTACACTCCTGAATTGACCTTTAGGTTATGCTCAAACAACTTTGGACCAATCAGCGAATTTCCGCAAAGATAGTGTATTCTCGCATTTAAATCGACGAAGACTTGTCGACTTGTGTGACATAATATTCTTAATGTAAAATTTATGTGGCGGAAAGGATCTGCTTGACATTTCATGAGAAATCTCCAATCTTGCACTATTTAACGTAAATTTGCCTTTCTGGTGTGTTTTCCCCACTTCCCGTGTGCTCCATTTAATCATCATCAATAACTGAATCAATCAAATCATGCATTTATCTCTTCGGAGGTTAACGTTTAGATTTTTTTTAGAAAACAAAGGCCTAATGCAACCAACGACAATTTAATTTATTCATCTGCATCTGCAAGGTGCCGACGGTTTTGCTAATTTAAGACAGCCAAATTTGAAGAAAAATTAAAAGATCCCGTAAACTATGGGAATTAAAAGGACTCACACCTTCACGGCTGCTCCCAGGGCCATTGTCCTGCTCATCGGCAGATTTATCTCGTGCGAGTCCGGGCGAACTCGCTTCCAATTTGTCCCATTTTTTTCCGCACGGCATGACTCATCTTCATAGGCATTTTGTCTGCCAGTCACCGGTCAAAATTGATTTTAGTGACTCTGATATCCAAGCGACTGGTTTTAGTTTACCTAGACATTTTTTCCTAAGTTATTCTTGTGGTATTACGCTCTTGAAAGCTGATGTCTGTCAAAGGTTTAAATACGGACACGACACATCATGCAGCGCATGCACCTGAGTCGAAATCCCACAATCAAAATCTATCATTTTTGCAATTATTTTTAATGAAATATTGTACCTCTGAATAAAAATGTCGAACGAAGCAGACGCTCTGTTTGACTCTGCAGAATCCAACGGTATCTTTGCCGGAAACGCCTGGTATGTCAAGGAGCTTTCATTAAATTCTATTTAATTTGAAAGGCATACGTATATCTAGTATCCTCTTGTGATTAGAGTGGTCACATTTTTTCGTGTATACATAATTACAACAAGAATATAGCGGCACATAAGTCGATAAGTCTTCATCGATTTAATTACAAGAATGCACTATCGTTGTGGAAATTCGCTGATTGGTTCACAGTTGTTTGAGCACAACTTGATTTTATGAACGTCTGGTCATTTTAGCAATGACAATCTGGTTTATAGAGTGACTGGTAAGGGACTGCCTGCTCATTTGTTACATAAATGGACCGTATTTTGCCATCAAATTGACCAATAATTGCATACATTAAACTGAGTAAAATTTTATTAAACCCTCGCCCTGTAGTTTGACTTGAATCTTGGCATTTGCCAACTAAGGTCTGTGTAGTAAAATGTACACATCGAAAATGCACATTTTGTGTCCAAAACGTTTTGTCACGAAAACAACCGATTAAATTTTACACAATTGACTACCCTAACGGTTAGTTTAGTCCAAAAGTAATTAGCAACTTTAAAGAATTGTGTTGGCCTGTTTCATCAACCATGAAAGCGTTTAGATATATTTTTCCCGAGAAAAATGTGAAATAAAAAAATCAAAGTCCAAAGCTTCTTTTGGCTTTTACCCAAAATTTGCGATTTCAAAAAAAACTTGCCATATTCCCTTGTTTGTACATTATTTATCCAAATTCTACGACACTTGATTATGTTATAAAATATTTCTCTAACTGATTGCTTCAGGCGCAACAACCACATTTGACGGATGCCTTATCATGCGTTGAGGTAACTTTTTAACCTCCATAATCAGGTACTTTTCTATACTAACCCCAAAAAATCCCGAAACTACACCAAGCTGTAAAACCTGAAAGCCGGTTCATTTGAACACCTGGAGTCGGTAATATTTACATTGCTTGTTTTTGTATCTATTTAATTTTCCAACCCTGCCACAATTTTAATAAAGGGCACAGTAATCTGCAACCTTTTACCCAAAAACTAACAGATTCGTGCAATAATTGCTCCTTTTCGGTTGGAATCGCTTACACTGCTCCAATTGGTGTGCCATGATTGACCAGTTCAGAGATTATCTAGGCAAAAGTTAGATTCTAGACTCCAATATGCTTGCACGAATAATTTTAAGAACACAACTATAACTGTGCACACAGATATACGCTCACTGGTCAAATATCCAGAAGAGCAGCCGAATTTTGGCCTGTGATGTAAGTTTGGGCCAAAATTTGCAGACCTGGGCGATACCAGTCGTAAGATACTCAGTGTACCAATCAAAAAGCCGGCAGAAACCTCACGAGTAAACGAAGCTAGAGGAATCATCAGGCACCAGAGACTGGTGTATTTATATTAGTCATCATTAGCCACTTCTTGGGAGGTCAACGTCACTTTATGCAAGATCTCTGGCACTAAAATTCTCTCAACAGACCGTTCAAAGTCTGTGTATAGGGGACACCCTGAATCACTAGTAATAGAGTTTAAAAGTAGCCTGATGGGCTAGAGTTATAAATGATTTAAGAAGGATCGGATGGTGAGAGATCAGAAGGTGCAAAAAAAGCCGAATGGCTTAAGTTGCTAATATTACAGATTACCCCAGGTGCCTTTATCGTCGACATCAGGTTCAGTACAATCTAGAATAGCCGTCTTTAGGCGCGCTGTTTACTCAGGTTGGGACAATTAGCTGTTTACCCCCAAAGGGGCTGTTTCGTAATTACTTTAGGCGCTGCCTATAACTTGATTTAAATTAATTGACCAGTCATTTACACGCCTCGCGTTTGCTTACAAGCATATTTACTGCTGCGAATTTCGCTTCACTAGTTGAACATATTGGCAAGTTCTCACTTGATTTTTTTGTTAATCCCAATATAATCTCTGAAAAAAACGATAAAATTACTGCCTTTGAATAGGATCATGCAAGATTTGCTCTGCGTATCTGTAACACTGTGAGTTGCTTTAATGATACACCCATTGGTTGTCATACAGTGCAGTCCTCTACTTTTAACCGAAAGCCACTTTCCAAAATCCATTAAAACTTCAAAATTTTTGTCAGATTCGCCTAAAGTAACACTGCATTACGGTGGAATAGGGAATGCACCAATATTTTGCCCTAGATAAACTGCTTAGTGTTGGAACTGTTAAGAAAAAGAAATTTGTGTAGAAAAAATTTATTATTACTAGTTTGAGCGGTGGAATGAGGTGTATATACACAGGATACTTGATTCTGTAGAAAAGGCGGTTAATGGTGCCTAGCAAAACTGGTCACACACGTCCACCCTAATGCGTACTTTATTGAACCCCATCCGATTGGATAAATCTTCTGTCCGGAGCACGTTATTCGCAGTCAACATACTCCGTCCGCATCCGTGAGGCCCCAGCCTACGACAAAGAAACACATATCGCAGCAGCCACACGTGGAGCTGCACAGCATCCGGAAAGAGGCTAACATTTTCCGTGCAAATAAGATTAAGAAAGTGGAAATCAGTCTGCGTCAGACCGGGGATAAACGACAAGCGAAGATTGAAGACTTCCCGTCGGGCTATAAATAACGACCCCCGCTGCTGCATTCGAGCCAAAGCCTGTATACGAATGTAATCAGAAAAGAAGTTCTCGTTGCGCCGACTAACTAGACTGGCAGCAAGATCGGCCTGAAAGTCAAATTTGGTGCCACAGGCCAAAGTTGACTCAGGATACACCCGACAATGAGCGAAATTTCGGTGGAAAAAGACAGCGGAACAGATTAATCCAGTCACCGCCAATGAACCAAGGCAGAAGGCGGCCATGTTGAGTGCAAATGTTGTCGAGGCAAGGCAGATATAAAGGGTGTTGGATTTCTCCGTTGGGTGACAATAAAAGCTCCCTGCAAACGGCACCCCCTGGGTGATGGCGCACACCCCGGCAACCAGACACAAGGCAGTTCCGTTAAAAAGACCCAGTACTGCGTGCTTGGCAATGAAACGTCGGACGTAGTAATCGGTGTTTTGCCACCCGGCAAGAAAAAGGTTTAACGCATGGTCGTCGCGACTCACACGAAGTCGCGGCAGATGCATGACTGCAGCCGACGGTAAGTCCATTTCGGATTCGTAGCCTGTGTCGCCAGGGGAGACAGTGTTTTCGGGTTTGGGAAGTTGAAATGAGCCCAGTGGTTCTGTGATTGTCGTGTCATCGCCGCCGCCTCGTTGAATAGGTGTTGGACGCGGTGAATTCTTGAAGCGCATTTCCCGAACAAACGGCATGAAGGAGGAGGCAAACGGCACGGAGTTGATCGACGAAGCAATAGCTACCAGTTCTCTTTGAGCAGTTTTTCGAAATCCTCGCATCTCGGAGGCTACCAGACACGTGTCCCGGTACAGGTGCTGCCGAACGGCCCTTCTCCAGCAAAAGTGTGGTATCCAATTGAGGATGGCCACTAGAATCAGAATAATGGGAAAGCACTCGTGTTGCAGACTCCCTGCAACCCTTCCCTCATTATCGGAATCCTTTGCACCCTGTAGCACTACTTGAATCAGTTTTGCTCGGCATATCTGATTGACAAACTTGTTGGGGGAGCTTGCTGTTGCCGATACCGGTCGACAGCTGGCAAAATTTGTGAAGGAGTGCACGAGGAAAAAGCAGGTGCCCACTATGAGTGGCAAAATCACTCCTAGAACAAACAACACTCGGTCAATCCACAGGGTTGTCTTGAAGTGTTTGAGAAGGGGTTTTGCCGAGGTGTCCTGTTGCGGTCGGCTATGTCGACATGCTTGGGAAATTCGGGAGAGGGGATATATGGGTGAGCTATGCGGTCGAGTTTCGACTGCGGCCGTTGAATTGATGCGTCGCGGACCCGCCTCATCATCTTCCTCGGGATTTTCGCCAGTGAGGAGGACAGTTATCGGCGAGCTGGAACTTGCGGTAGTTAGGGTCGCGGTGGACGGCGACACGAATCTCCTGGCGCTGCCGTCCTCGTAGCTGAGAGAGTGGCCGTTTGTGTTGAAGTTGGAGTCATTGTTGAGGATGGCACGAATTTCCGTAGCATGACGCACCAAATCTGAGGCACTGGGCGTGCTGGTGGTCGCTGAGGCGGCTCCACTCATCATTCCCTTTGGCGACTGCTAGGGCTTCGTGCCGCTTTTGATGACACGCATGTGCGCAGAATGACTGGGCTGTCTGCTCGCGCGCGTGCACGTTCATTCTGACTTGGCCAATTAGGCACAGCACTTCACCGACCAATGGCATGCTCGCTGATATTCCAGCTCCGGTTTCCAGGTCATGCTGTAATCCGACGTTACGTAGCAGGTCTCATGTTTTTCACACATTCTGCTGATGTACTGACGGAGATTTATGTGATTTCTAGGCCATGAACGCCACATTTGCGGGACTTAGAGTCAAAAATTCATCATTTGATGGTTAATGGTCCCCTTTGCCTTAACCGGCAAATCACGTCGTAAAGAAATGAAATCGAGAAGCCGTTTAATTTGACCCACAAAAATTCAGGATTTATGTTTCACTGTTTGTAAGGCAATTTGACGAAAATTATGGATGATCATGCCATGCCATATGAATGAATTGCGGGAAGTGTATGCAAATCATTCCAAAAGCGTACATTGACGTCTGTTTCACACAAACACTTCCACTACGAGATGTTATTTGGTCAGAATCTCACGAACATTACCAAATGGACACCACAGATGCAGGTTCTTAGACCATGATGTCTGCTTTCATCAGGAACACCAAGTCGGGCAGTTCGAGCCGACAATGTTTGGAATTCGGAGATAATTCATCCAAGGGGCATTAAAGCAAGGTACTTTGGGCTAACACAAACAGCAGACAAGCATTAGCTTGAACCTCAAAACAAAGATCACAGCCAGTCTAGAGCAAGAAGTGCAGAAAGTATGATTAGCTTCTGATCAAACACAACTTCATTGCCTTCACTTTACTGGGGCTATGTGATTTGCTCTTCCAGTACAAAGATCGGATAAGTAAACGTTTAGTAAGCAACACATTAATTGAGGACCTAAACAATCAGCTTTTAAAGGTCTGGATAAATCTTTGTGTGGAATTGAGACCATAGTCTCAGTCTTCACTTCTCCACTGAAGACTCCCCAGGTCCTGATGATTCCGTGGTGGTGCTGAGAAATGTGACAGACCTCTAGTTTATCGTTACACGAGGTCATCTAACGCATAAACTCGACATAACTGTCAACTCAAGGCGGTTTTAAGAGGACTTACGAAAGAAATCTTGAAGTCTACGTGGTTCCTATCCTCTGACTTTGAATCTGACTAAACCGCTTGCGGACTTACCTGTAGTTACCTCCCAGCAAAACAGAATTTGTGCCAAGGCCTTGTAATGCAAGGAAATAGTTCCTTCTGCTTTTAATATTATTATTGCTTAAAAAAATATCATTGATGCTCGAAAGAAATCTTCTGTACCATGAAATTTTGACAAATGTGATGGTTTTACAATTTTCCATTAACTCAAACGGATATATTTGGACTGGAGTAAGTACCAGTGCGACGTGCGTTGGTTCTGGAATCATTTTCAGACACATTTTACGGTTTAGGCTAGTCTTAAAACCCGTGTAACTTGGAAAAAGTAAGAACTCATCGAACATCGGCGCTGTAGGCTGCGTTCAGAGAAATAATCAGTGACATTTGTGTTTTGTGTGGGGCTGACAAATGGTATTTGCAGTAGCGGAATAGGACACGGAGTTTGAAAAAAAGCGTCAATGTTTCTAGCACAGGCGTGTTCAGCGTCTAGCCACCAGTGCGAGCAAACACGCCGTTTCGTTGCCTCTTTCCTCGAATATCCCCGGATGGAAAAGTGACTAGGCTCAGGTGTTTGGGGTAGGCGCTGGCTACTGCGATGGGGTTTGTCACGCTACCGGGTCATTAGGCTTTTAGAACAGGTTGTATTACGACGGCCTTAGCACCAGTTGCCCGGTAAGTTTAACTTGGATAAAAAGGTCATTTTGCCGATGGTTTTAACGCTATTGCACAATTAGGCTCAAATGCAGGGGTTAATTTAATTTGAAAAATTACTTACAGTGCGGTTCTCATTTAGATTATGGCTTATTGGCTGCTTGCATGTACAATACTGTTAAAGAGGAATTTCTGATGTGTAACTTAATTCGTAGTTCATTCCTGAAGTCCTTTACTCATTGACATCGCGGTTTCCAATGTTGTCGCACAATACGACAAACATTCACTCATACATACAACACTAAGTAAGCATCAATCGACTGATTTAACCGAATTAACCATTGGTCGATTATGGACTTTGAAATATAGTTTATGGCCTTTTTCAGGAATTTATTAACCAATTATATGAAACAATAAAAATTGCAGAACACGAATCCGCGACTTGAGCAAACAGACGGTTTCACTCAATTCCTCTATTCCCTGAAAAATCTCAAACACTTGCTCAATCGAGACGACACGTCTTAGCTTTCGCATAAATGGGGAGTTTTCATAATCCGGTAGTGCCTATTTAATCGTGAAGTCATTATTACAACAATACCATTATCACTGGCTGGTGGAACCGCTGTGTTTTGGATAAATGTTTTGGTTGGTTTTTAATGCATTTTTGCATCAGCACTTGTCCACGGAGAATGCATTATTACATTGTGAATTACCAGCACAGGTAAATGACAGGCTTTTCAAAGTGCAAGTGCCTTATGCAAGTGTTTTTTCATGTCGACGTGAAATCTGTAGGTAAGATGACGGGAATACTAATGATGATGGCCACTCCAGCGGTCCAATAAGCACGCGGCAACCTGAGGCCAACCAATAAAATCGAACCAATTAGTAATGCGAACTCAAGGAGCGATGCGTTGATTAATCGGTTGATTGGTTCTTTTCGTTCTTCGATTGTAATTGGCTCTCTGAGAGGAAGGCGGCTCAAACTTGGAACCATCCATCCTGACGCGAAAGTCGTCAAATGGTTGCACTCACACACCAGAACTCGTGCTGTCGTTTCACGGGAGACCTGAATTAAAAAGAGGGTTGCATTTAAATACTTCAAAATTTTCCAAAATTTCGGCATTCCTTTTTTCCTTAAAATGTTTGTTATAGAATTATCTCAAACATTTTAAGAACGTCTTCTGACTATAGACTTAAAACCCAACACAAAAAGCCAGATCAACTCCACGATTTTTAAAAGGGGATGGCATTTTTGCATCTGATCTAGGTGCTTAGTCAGCTGTCAACAGTTTTTTTTTCCAGAACCACGAACTAATCGATTTTTCCGAGTCAGTAATAACAGGATAAACCAATAGTATTAGTGGACCGTATAAGCTAGATGACGGTCACATGCAAACGCATTATTCGGAATCTTCATCCACGTCTGAATGCATGCATAAACTTCATTAAGGGGGTTTATTAGATGTATGGCTATCACCACAGTCACTTGATCTGGGAATTCAACATACAGATTACGTGAAATTCACGCGCAGCCATCCTGATAAATCAAACATGTTTTAAAGTAATCAATAACCTGGCACCCAGACGTGGACCAAGTGAGTGCCTCGGGTCTCATGTGGTTGCAGGACGATTCGAAAGCCCTCATCTTCACCGTCACGTTGATTTGATCTTCAAGGGGGTATGGACGAGGCGGGGGCCTTGCCGACGAATAGGCATCAACCTCACCGGCGGTTAATTGTCGATACCCGACATAGAAAGTATTATACATTGCACCAGTCATCTTCATTTGCCTAGCGTGAGACTGTGCCCATTGCTTGCCTCTTCGGAAATCCTTATTACTCACGAAGAAGGTGTAATTTCTTTCTCTTTCATCGTCCGTAATTTTTGTGTTTTCTAAAAAGTTAAAATATTCTCTGTACTAACATTGTTTAAGTAAATAAGAAATAAGGGCCACGAAAACTTACGGCAAACCGATGAATGCGGCGGCACAAGGCCCCAATAGTCCTCACCTAGACCATCTGATTTTACCATGAGATTCGGCGGAAATAGGTGTCTAAAGGCAAATTATTTATTTTCAGGCGGTATAATAACATCTGGTATTTCCAACCTCCTTTTCAAGACAACACAAACCAGATGCCTGTGGATTTTTTTACATCTTGTGCGAAATTCAATCATGATTCGCCTCGGTAGAATCCTTAAGATGTTATGCGAGCATATTGTGGTACAGGAAAGAAACTACTTAAACTGTTAGTTGATTTTCGATGGCTTCTAAACCCGCCAAATCTGCGTCAGTTATTGAAGGTGGCTTGAAAAGGATTACCTTGCAAGAATCAGGTACTGCGGACACGTTCCGTTTGGCGCGATTGGTCTAAGCTCTAAGCTGAAGGCAACGTCGACCTCGTGAATGACGAAGCTCAACATAACCAGCGGTTGGTAGATCCGACTGCCGTCAACGGCAGTTAGCGCCTCTGGTAGCCTTGCATTCTCGCCTTCTGCTACGCCAGTGGTAAACTCAGGGTAGGTGAAATTCGAGCCCTGCAAACATAGCATAAAATACGGCTTTGTTTGACGTGACTCAGCCGTGTTAGGTTAAACATTCTGTGATTGCAGTTTCTAGTTCTTTCAAGCAATAGGCATCACCGTGGCCACTTCCTTCGGTCAGCACGTTGATGCCCCTTTGGAATTCATTTGCTCACCTTAGAGATCCGGACAATGAAGGGCCTTCTCGATTTATTGATTTCTAATTGCTTCCCTTTTGAGAAAAACGATAAAGTAACTGTTTCCGAATTGGAAGGAATGTGGGGACCACGGGAGTTACTCTTGGGGAGGAGATTTGTCGGCGTGATGATGCTCTACAGAGAGAAAAAAACAGCTCACTGACAGGCTGGACGGGGGGAGAAAATATCTTTAAACCGAGAATGTGTACTAAAACAAAGGTGTGACAAAATCTACCCAAAAGTAAGCACATTTCAAAGGCTACCGATAACACAAGCAGACCTTTCGAATTGTGTACTATTAGCTTTTAAGTAGAATATCTGACACAGGTCCTCCCGGAGACGAAATTATCCATAGTCTTTCCAAGGTTGCAGATCCCGACATGGTGTTCTGAAAAGTATTTTCGGGCATTTGCCAATTCGATTTTTAGTTCTTACCATAATTTCAGATATTGAATGAAATTAATTTGTAATAAATTCAACAAGGTTAGACCGTGAATAAATATTCTCCTAATCACAAGTTGTTTAATTTAAAGTAGAGGCTCTGTAAGCGACACCTGTAGCGGGTTAACAGCGATCGCGCCTGAGTGAACCCTGTTTACCGACCTGACGGTGACAATTTCATTGGTTACTGCTGTCAAATGCCTGTCATCCGCTCACTCACACACACACTTGGCTGGTGTGATGCTAGTAAACGGCCGTGTCCACTGCCGCCTCTTGTTACACTCTTCTCAAGTTGTTACGGGCTGTTAACTAGAGGGTTGTAAGGTAGTGCTAAACCTTTAGCTCCTACACACCTTACATCCCGAAAGCTTGATAATTTTCACGAGTTTACAGGAGTTTGTGAGGTCTTGAACTATTCTGGACAGCCTCGTCTATTAATACTGAGGTTCGTGACTTCTATAAACTTGGCCCTGTTTACAGGATCATGCTAGGGACGAAATCTTAAAGACAGCACTACTCTACAGTCACTCAGTGATAATCATTTTTTAAATCATCGGACAAAGATTGCCCAGGCATGTGTGCGTGGGCGCATCTGAACGTATACTGGACCTGTGGCTGGTCGTGTTGTTTTCGCCGTGTTCTGAGAAGCCTTTGACATGGGTTCAATTATTTACACACAGAGCATTCTGTCGTGCATCCTATTTATTCAACCCCCTAATCCGGTCGCTACAGCGCCTACACAGGTGTAGTAGCTTATGGTCTAAGCACTACCTTACAACCCTCTAGTTAACAGCCCAAGACAACCCGAGAATGGAGAGAAGAGAGGCGACAGTGGACACGACCGTTTATTAGCGTCACGCCAGCCGAGTGTGTGGATGAGTGAATGGATGACAGGCATCGGATACAATAACCAATTAAAAGGAGATGAGTCATTGTCACCGTCAGGTCAGTAACCATGGTTCACTCAGGCGCGATCGCTGTTAATCCGCTACACAGGTTTCCCCTTGTCGCAGCATGTCGACAGCCGCTCGATTCCTCAACTCCCCCTTCATTAGCCCGAATATTTATCTTGGAGTGTCCCCACACAGAGGTCTCGATGTTAACGCATGCATGACTCACACATCCGAGCTATAAATACATACGCGCAAACACCACACACGACACAACGACACCAACGTGGTTGACATCTGAACTAAACGCTTGTGTCCGTCCTCTCCGGCCTTTTCCTTCATCGCGGGTATTAGGCAAGCGTAATCGGGTTAGGGTTAATTCCGTGGCCCCGGCGTGTTTCCCGACCACATGCTGGGGCCCTCAACAATTCCATCTGTGTGTTGGTAAACTGTTGAAGTATTCTGCCTTGGCGGTTATGGGGAGTATACAACATATTTGATCGCTCGACAAACGGAATACCTCTGTCTTCTCACCATCAACTTTAGCGAGGCAACGCGCGTATCGTTGTAGTTGAGCCAGGTTAACCACTACTTAAGCACAACAATTTCCGATTGATGTCATTGTAGACCTTCTAATGCGCACCATCTGTAAGAGTTCATTTCAAGAGATGATGATTTCGCCGCATTTCTTGAAATTTGGTTGATTGAGTTTAGTGTAAATTGCTTTCATTCCCGCGTAACTCCTATATCGAGTGCCTTAGTGATTTGATAAGGCTTAATAGGATTTAATGAAAGCATCAGATGATCGAGCAGAGACCTGAGAAGCCTTAAGTGAAAAATCTCCAGATGAATAAATTTTTCCAACGTATTCAAGTAAAATTCGATGCATTTAGTAAAAGAAGTTAGATAAAAGTCATATTCACGGAAGAGTACAAAGAGAAAATAATGAAAATGCAAATAATATAAAAATACGCATAATTTAGACTGCTCGTGAAACACAAACGACTATTATTTTAAATAAAGGCTAGTATTTCTATTAAGGTATGTAACCAGAATTAAGTACATTTTAGCATACGACCAGTCTCTTTCTATTTTAATCAGCTTAAATTTGGATATTTTCTCTATCAAATCGTTGACTAAACGATCACCCGAAGAGCATAGCTATGCCAGAGGGCCATCTGTCAAATATGCAAACATTTTGAGCCAATAGCAGCCTGTTCATTGGGGAAACTCCACACTCTACTTTAGACTGCTGTCCAGTTTAACCACTCCAATTTCTCACCTGAACAACCACACATCCGACATCCTGTAGTTCCTCGTCAAGATGAGGAATTGTCAAGGAGGAGCCAGTGCCGTTCGACTGGCCACCGATAGTGAACTCGTGCAAGTTGGAGATGTTGTTGAACTTCGAGAAGTTCATGCTGGCGCCTCCGGGTGCTCGGGTGGTCAAATGCGACCGCTTTCCACTTCCAGCCAAGACGCATTCCAAAACCTCGGCCAGGGAGGCGCTCAAATGAGCGAAACCCTCCATTACCGAGGCAGACTGGAAAAAGAAATGTGTTGAGGACACCACATCACACAACCACAGGGCCAACCAGACAACAGTTATCGGTTTAACGGATTCGTCTCGACTCTCCTAGACATCACCAACTCGACTTGATCATTCAGGCTTCTGCACATCTATGAATGTACGCGTATTGTAAACGTAAATGACGCATGTCCAGTAGACCGTTGTACTTATTCCACTTTGTTTAGGGAAAAGTGTAGTCGTGTCATGTTTGGTTTTCATGCCTATTAACTTAAATCCTAAGACAAATGCTTTAATTACAACTCGACAAGTTTTTAATGATCCGACCAAATGTGAGCTATTGCAGCCCTAATACGAAACTTTATTTCCCTCCACTGAAGCATAACGAAAGGGAATTTGGTTAACTCACACTATTCCAGCGTCAGGTATTATTTTTTAATGACTAATTTTTCAGATTACATTCAACTTAGTCTTGTCCCTTATGAGCAATTTTACACTTGTAAAGACTTAAGCCTTCGTATCAGAAAGGAAAACTAAATCGCAGAGACGCTGAAAATCACATATTCCACCTTTTCAAAGATTTCTAGAAACCCTGGTCACAATTTTCTTTCTGAAGTACGAACTGAGTTTTGGCTATATCGTAAGTAGTGAAGTAAGCGTGTTGAGAACATGGTGAATCTCGTTAATTTCAACCCGTCTGATTCCACAATGAGTCACTGGGGCGCAGACATATTGGACCTCAGCCAATCCTCTGTCTCTTTGCGTTTGAATGGCGGGCAAGGAAGATATGCGGCCAACCAGAGACAGACGCATGTAACAAGCAGTACATAATGAGCGACACAGCCAGCGTGGCGCCTGACTCATGGTTCAAGATTGTGATTGGTCAATAAAGCCTGTTCTGTGGTACCAGTCTTATTTATGCTAGGGCTCGGGTATTCTGCTTTTTCTGTGACAAGCTCTGGAAACCCCACTAAACCGTTCAACCAAATGCTTGCTTTAACAGATCCCGTTATTCCAATTGGTCAGCTCACCAAGGTCACTCCAGCGAACAATAAAAACGAGCAAGTCAAAATGACTCTGCGTCCACAGTCCTATGGGCTTGTTGTGAATCGTGTTTATCCAAATCCTTTAATTCGGTAGCTCCATCTCAGACACAGCGTTCCCCTTTTTGCAACATGTCACCAGCCGCGTGGATCCTCAACTCCCCCTTCATTCGCACGAATATTTATCTTGGATTACCCTCACACCTACGTTTCGATGTCAGCGCATGTATGACTCACACATCTGAGGTATATATACACACGCGCAAACCCCACACACGACACAGCGACACCAACGTGGTTGGGCTCTGAAGTAAACGGTTGTGTTCACGTCCTCTCCGGTCTTGTTCTTCCTCGCGGGTATCAGGGAAGCGTAATCGGTCCAGGGTTAATTCCGTGGCCCCGGCGTGGTTCAAGACTACATGCTGAGGCCCACAACAGACTCAATAAACTAAACGGTTGAGCTAAGCGCTTGGATGCATCGCTATCCATTTAATTAAGTAATTTAGTTGACTCGTTGTGATGATGTGTCCCACATCATGACTTTCAACAAGACATCCGAGAAAGAATTTGAAAGAAAACGCTGGTTTTGATCCAGATTTCTGTTGATCAACCTATCATATTAACGCAGCTTAGCACACCCCTTGCATGATACCGTTGAGAGAACTAGATTCAGTAAGAAATTTTGCAAAAAATTTAAGATTCAGGTAGTATAAGACACGTTTTTTAAAAAAGACTCTATACCTCTTCTCGATTAAAAAATATAAAAAAATTAGTTATTTGAGGTCAAATACTGGAATTAAAGCAGAAGGGGAAGGCTGTGCATCCGTTTTCGTAACACAAATCATACCATTCTTGGTAGTTATGGTTAAAAAATTCGTTTAAATAGTTGGCTTAACAAGTCATACACTCACATGACCTAGTTGTTCTTCGGCAGTATTAAAAGTGGCCAATTCTTCCATTGACATTTCCGGATTTTCCATAACAAACTCTAAACAAGAATCAATTAAATTGAATGAGACGCATTGGCACGCTGGCTCTCATTACTTAAATCACTCAAATTTCAGTGGCACCCAAAACTCACAATTCTACCTCAATTTTTTCTTCAATCTGGCTGTATCCTAGATGCAACCATCATACATTTACTACTGCTTCCTGGTTAGCATTTAAGGAAATAAGTAAGTGCTTATACAACCTGAATCAATGTCAGTGTCGTAGTTGACTTCAATTGGATCCCGATCAAGTTCACTTGGAATCGGCGATAGAAGCTGTTCACTCAGACCCTGAAAAAAAAAACAGAACCAAGCATTATTTCTCTTTGTTTGTTTGACTGTTTTGCCGACGAAAACCCTTTATTAATCTACGTGAAAGCCATAGTCAATTTGCCATGTCAACTCAGGCCCGTGTTGTACTGCTTCTTAATCGATGATCAGCTTTCCAACCTCTCTCTTTGGGTAGTTTTACAAATACCGATGAGTTTTACAGGGTATCATGAGAGAATTAATGTTGGTATTTTCGGATCAGTTGAAGTATTCGAAATTTCGGTGCATCTGTAAATTCATTTTGCAAGTCACAGCACCTTCTTTTACTTATCGCCAGTGTAGCCCGAAACTTACTGTCGCCGCAGTGTTGCACTTAACTGACCAAAACTGTTTAGCAGCGCAACTGGCATTGTGTCGTAAGGTTTGGAAAAACGGCGTTCATTGTAGGTAGAAACATCAGCCTATCATGAAATCGCTCTCTGCTGAATGCTGGTGGAACTGACTACGAGACGGTATAATTTCACACCCACACACAATCACAATATTGTTTACTCACGTCAAATAAATTCATGCCAGCAAGTGCAAGATTCGTCCCGATTTCGAGGATTTCGTTTACCGGCATTGATTTGGAGATGTCTAACAAATTGGCCGACATTTTATCCATCAATTCTACAACACAGTCCTGTCCGACATCCGACAGGTCTCTGGCACTGTTTGCCAGTGCTAGAAAATTCGTCACAGCCTGGGACAGGGAGGCCCTGTTGACGATTTCGGTGCTCTCGGAGACCACAACAGCCAACTTTTCGAGAATCTGCAGGGGTGGACACAGTGGAGGCATTAAAAATTTCACTGAACAGGGTTCCAGCGTAGTTCCAGCTGACAGATTCTCCTCAAAACTAGGTTTTAGTCTATTCTCAAAATACAGACCATAATTTGTTAAAAAGGTTGTTTGGGTAGTTCTGCATCAAAGCAAGCCTATGTTACGTAAATTTAGGCACTAATTAAGTGTGACGGAAACAAAATGACCCGGCTACTTAATGAACTAGTGAAAGTGACTCAAGATAAGTCTTAGCCTTTACATAGCAGGTGTTTAAATGTTCAGAATTTTAATTTTGGCTTAAAGATAAAACAGTAATACCTTTGCGTTGACGTTCCGAACAGCAACATTTGCCTAAAGCAAAAGATGAAATAGCAGCCTGTTATAGAAGGAGAGCCAATGCATCTGATACTTATATGATCAACAAACTGGTTTACAAATCCACGAACACTTCATTATTCTGAGGTCAACAGTTTGGCATGTTTCGTGATTTTTGTTTTAATTAATACTGAATGTGGAGGAAATCAGCAGAATTGCTCACCTGAGGATCTGCAGATTGTAAAGGCGGTGTTGTACCGAAAAGGTTGATGAAAAATACACCATTTAACAATAATAATAAAAAACAAGTTCGAGGAACGCAAGTAAACAAAGACAAACAAGCACAAACCAGGTGATTGGTCCCTCAGCGTTGAGGCGATGAGGCCGGTTAACGACTGTACTAGAGGCGTGATTTCATTCGGGACGCCCCATGTCAATATGTTGCCAATTGCGGGATGTGTCGGACCGTCTGCGATGTTTTGAAGCATTTCATGGACATTTTCGGGGTGTAAATCAGCCACCTTTAATCGAATTACACGAGTTGTTACGCCATACACTTGAACTCGCTGTGAAAATTTCGGTTGCCCATGTTTAAATTACCATTTCAAACAACTGTTCAGCTTCCTATAAGCAGCAAGACATCCGTACGCTGTTCCTATGTGCTTTGAGTGCAACATCGGTTCAAGGTTTTGATACTTCACACATCCTGAGATGGAAATTCAAGTTTTAAATATTTAAAGCTCTTCCAAGATTATTCTTCCAAGGCTTTTGCATATTTGGATTTCTACTTTTCATTCGTGTTTATGTGTACAATTTTTGAATTCGAATCAACCGCCCCTGGCCTACCCATCTTTGAGTACTGTTCCCCTTACTTCCACCGAAAGCCGCCTGCACTATAAATATGTGGTTCATTTGAGCGAATACTTGGCCTTTGGCTGAGGCATTAAAAACTCTCTACACGAGGTCATGTTCTGTTCTAGTTTGGATCGTCTTTGACTGGCTAAACAAAAGGTTTCTACCACTTGCACTTAGGGCTTTGCATCCGTGTGCTACAACACAAACTAATGACCAAACTACTTTATAAGCACATAAGCAGAGTTAAAGTGCTCAAAATTCCCATAGTAAGTGCCAGTAATGCAAGCAAAAGGTAGTTCCACACGCCGAATCGACCACATCATTACCTTCATTGGACCAAAGCAGTACTCGATGAAGTTACTGAAGCGCGCGTACACTCGAACGCAGAGGAACGAATTCAAGCGGGTGTAAGGCATGGTGGTGCAATACGTCGAGGTGTACGTAGTTGCAAGTGTTAGACGCGAAGTGGCGGTGACAACTGAAATGGAATACATGTGAGCGCTTAGGTGCCCGAAATCCTCCAACACACTGTCAGTACAAGGTCCCGCAAAATTCGCTAGATGGTAGAAAAATTAGTAGTCGACCCTAGCACGACATTAACTGCTCACCATTCATCTGCTTGGAGCTAGTCTTGTAGTATTAAGCTGAAGCCCCAGATCTTAAGTAACTGTTACAGGCATTCGTATTCTACATGCTTGATATCTGATTTCTGTCTGATCGTTTCGTTTGACTTTATGAAACATCCGAGTATGTTTGATGCAATCAAAACCTGGCGTGTTCCCTTTTTAAAGCGTTTCATTTTTTACTGCCTGATTTCGGTTGTTATCAGAAGTCACCAGAAATGAAGTATAAATACGAACGATGACCCCAGTGTTGCCCTCAACGTTTTCCTTAATTACTAATTATTACGTGCATGACCTAATTTTTACAGATTTTGAGCAAATTTAATTAATATTTTCTGTTGTTTTCTGTGACCTTGCATTATCTCTCAGGGAACATGCAAATGCCATCCCGAAAGAAACTTGTAGGCTTCGAGGCAATCAAGTAATCGACGTATCTATGCATATCGTGCCATCGCAAGTTCAAGAGGCCCTTCTGACTGACACGAGCGACGCGAGGTGGTCAGGCGTTGTCGTGCAGCAGTATGGCTTGCCTGCTTTCTTATCCAGTAACTGATCCACCATCTGATTAAGTTCTTCGCTGTTTCTTCAATTTTTGTCTGTAGCGTTCCACAGTCTCCGTCCGACCAGTTTCGGGGAGTTTTAAATAAAGTACACCCTTCCTGTCCCCCCACCGGGTACGCAGGAGAACATTCTTCAAGTGGATGGCCTGTTTCCGTGTCGATGTGCTGGGTTGACCGGGATCTGCACACGACTTCATGTTTGGGATTCTCGTACGAAATACACTTTTCATTACTCGTCACAATTTTCCACAATGAGTCCTTTTACTGCTTGGTGCCGGAGGACAAGCAGTGAAAGACATCTGATCATACGTTGACCTGGGAGGTTGTGTTCAATCAACAAATATGGCCTTCAACTTCCAAGTTTTTGAATTTTTCCCACTTGATGAAGCAAACGCTTAGAGATAACTGCTTGGATTGCTCCTAACTGTGTTGCAAGCTCTTGCTGCGTTAACACCTAGTCTTCCTCCAGTAGAGCTTGCAATGCCTCATCTTAAAACTTTCAAGGGTGTTCGGGGAGCGGCTGGTTACCAAGATCGAAATCAACACTTCTAAAACGCTTGTACCAACAAGTGCACGGTTCATAAGACACAATGTCGGCAGCACTAAAAAAACTACCAAAGTGATTCCCGTGCATTAGAAGCATTTGTTTCTTGATTGTACTGCTTATCAGTCGTCATCGTTAACTGTTATTCTGAGTTTTGTAACTGACGTGGACTTGTCGTTAGATGTTCTAAAACTTTGCGTCCGATCCTTTCAATTTTAAATATAATTTTAATCTGGAAAACAATCTGTAGTGGACTGACAGCCGCCCCGCGCGAGTGTGCGTGCATGAAGGCCCGTGTGTAGCGATGACTCATCCCCTTTTGTTATTGATTTTTGTCAGCATCCGCCTGTTACGCACGCGTGCTCATACGCACACAAAGGCACTTGGCTGGTTCGACTCTAATAAACGGTCGTGTTCTCTGTTGCCTCCATTTTCCTATCCTCGGGTAGCTACGGGGTGTTAACTAGAGGGTTGTAAGGTAGGGCTAAATTTCTAGCCACTACATTTGTTGACTCCGACGTGATTAAATCCGGCTACTGCGCATTTGGTTATCCCGACATGGTGAAACCACTTTATTTTTGACGCCGTTGATTGGTGATATCCGTCGAATTTTTCACAGCCCTCTCATCTATTAACAATGGGTGACCCTATTGCTGTTCACCTCTATTTGGAAAACAGCATTTCAGTCAACTCTCTCTCCCGTGCTTTCACAATGCCCGAGTTTGGTTAATGCGACCTGAGGCCCATTTTCGTAATCAGATGATTACCACCCAGTTCTCTAAATACTTTCATGCTGGTGCATGGCTACCGAGAGATGTTGCTGCAGACGTTATCGACTTGCTTGGAACAATGCCTTCTGAAAACCCCTATGGAGATTGGAATGATGCTGCTCTCACACAAATGATCAGCTTGAACGAGCCTCGTCGTCGACACCTATTTTCCGGTATCGAACTAGTTGACAGGTCTCCTTCTCAACTCCTTCGGCATATACGCCTCTTTTTTTGGGGATATCATGGTTAATGCTTCCGTTCTTTGCCAAATGTGGACTAAAAATTCCTTGGCACACACGAACACAATCACCTCGTTCCAAAGCTCTAGCGAACATTTGGATAAGCTTACAGATATGGCTCATAATATCCACGAATGTCCCACTCACGGAGAAGAAAATCAAACCATCTGCTCTGGTGTAGCAGCTAACAAGCAGCTAACCACTTACTGAAATGGGATGAATTATCATCTAGACAGCCTCAACAACGACAGCGCATCACTTCCCGTTTCCGCTAGCCAAGTCAACCCAGGAAGAGATCCGACCCATCCCTGAGACCCGTTGTCGGCTTTGCTGATTCAGTTCACCCATTGTCGAGTGTTTACTGTTTCACAGCTAACACACTCGGGGGGAATATTTGTAGTGGACTGACAGCCGCCCCGCGCGAGTGTGCGTGCATGAAGGCCCGTGTGTAGCGATGACTCATCCCCTTTTGTTATTGATTTTCGTCAGCATCCGTCTGTTACGCACGCGTACTCACACGCGTACTCACACGCACACAAAGGCACTTGGCTGGTTCGACTCTAATAAACGGTCGTGTTCTCTGTCGCCTCCATTTTCCTATCCTCGGGTAGCTACGGGGTGTTAACTAGAGGGTTGTAAGGTAGTGCTAAGACCAAGCTACTACAAATCTGTTTAATATGTAAGTCATGGTCGTAATAACTTTTACTCCGTCAAGACGGCAGGTGCCACAAATAAGACGGAACTTGTGTGGAAAGAAAGCACTCGGACTTACGGTCATATCGAAAATGAAGAGGTTGGGAAGTAGCTCCTGTTTCACAGGAGACACAGACCATAGTACTGAAAGATATCTCCTCGGTAGCATTGCTCTTACAGCCGCTGATAATTGGTGGACCAATCGGAAGGAACTGTTGGCAAGTAGAGGGGGGAGACGATTTGCTGGCGACGCCACCAGCACTCAAGCACACGCGCAAATACATAGTCTTGCCCGAGGTGGTCCTCTTCGTAAGTGATTCCAAGACGTTAGGGGAGATGGTGATTGTTTCGGAGTCCCAGCCTTCATGCAAACAACGACAAAATCGATAATGGCCAAAAATTGCAAACTGGCAGCTCTTGTAGGTACCTGGACTGAAAACGCAGTTGGACCAATGCAAAATTCCACGAATTTTGTTTGACATTCAGCGTGATTTTCAAGTTTTCTAGGGGATATTGAACAGCTCTTCAGGGCAAAAAGGTTCGTTAAAAGTTATTTTACCTGACAATTATTAGTATGTTAAGAGATGAAACCGCATTAACCATTTACTTAAAATGCGTGAATGACTTAATTTTCAAGTCATCTATTTGCAGCAAGTACAGAAAGCTCTATTATTGCCTTAGTTATTGAAACAAATATGCAGAGTCAAATCAGGATGCTTACAAATGGTAGCAATTGAACAGGTGTTGGCATTCTCTGTTAGCGTATTGCCTCAAAATGTCCTACTAATGTATGCTGTTTAATGCAACCAACATTTTATCGTAACAATGGACTCCACGTTTGTTTGAATGCACAAGCCGTCTGACTATTCAATGAAACAAGGTTGCCCCACGGGCGCATATTTAAACCGCCATCACCTTCAACTAGTTCCCAGAGTTCGTCTCTCATCAATTCAGCTGTGCTTCCATTTCCATTCGTAGAATAAAGACTCCATCGAAATGGTAGATCACAGGCATCAGAGGATGAGCCATGGAGTTGCAGGGTGTTGGTGGCGCTGACGAAAGCAGCACGACGATCGTAACCCTCCCACACAAGTTCTGGTTGGGCGTAACTGGAAAGGTGAGTAAAAACGAGGGTATTTGTTATTCAACGGTGTTAGACTTAAGAACTTTTAAGTTGGGTTTAAAAGCGCAAATAAAGTGGGTCAAGGGTTGGGCGCAGTTTGTGCTTCAAACCATAAGGAAAAATTATAAACAGGGAGATGTGATTTGACGTGCTCTCGAGCTCTTGAGCATCAGGTGCGTAACCACAATAGTAAACGGTGCTTTTTTACCAATAGGTGCATTTTTTGACTCTATCAGACGTTTCCGTCCACGAACGGTGAACTAATAAAGAACCTATTTCGCTTTTCCTCTTCTTGGTAATCAACAGGCTTTCTCTATTCTAACTGAGTTAATCCAAAGAATCAAAATAAAACCATTTGCCTTGCACGCCTAGTTCATTTTAAAACTGAGAAGGGGAACACATTCCTCTTATGTTTCACGCGGCTACAGGGCTCAATTTCTAATTTACTTTCTGCGATTGGTGGGGTAGCGATAAGATCCAGCGAAGTAAATTAGCAGCTTAACACTGACCTGATAAAAACTGGTGGGCCTCTGGTTTTGGCTACAGTCACTTCTAACTGCCCTTGCCCAACCTGATACTGTGTTGTTCCGATCGCAACGAATGTATAGACGAAGTCCTTTTTAAGTAGCTTCACGGATACACAGAAGGTGCCATTTTTTGAAGGCATTCCTTGCAAGGGACATGTAGAAGCAGAAGAATTTCCACTTCTCTGCGAACACGTAATTTCCCACGAGATATTTTTCTAGCAGACACAAGAAACACAGAATTATGTGTGGAAAAATGTAATCCACATCTAAGAGATTTATGGCAGGTGGTACACCTACCTGTGCTGGGGGAATGTGATTTGGATCGATGGAGTACTTTTCAGGTTGGAGACAAAGTTCGGCAAGGTCATCTGACACCGTGAAATGACTCATTGGATTGTGCAAAAATCTTATCATCAGTGGTGCCGCACTGATAATAAAGAAGCCTTCATCCAGAACCACCTCGAGAATTTTCCTTAAACCACCTTCTCTTAAAATCAAACAAATACGGTAGTTTCCAGGACTCAATGTCTTTGGTTTGATAAAATACCACAATTGAGTCGAATGTTCGGCTTGTGATACCAGCCGAATGTCCGCACCAGTGACCGGATCTTGCAGCCAAATTTGCCACACATAGGTGGGTTTTTGTGCGCAGTTCGACGACGCAGCAAGGACTTTACAGGTGATCATGTAGTGATCTGTGGTGTACAGTTGAAGCGGTTGTAGAGCATTCCTCAGGTTAGGATCCGTAAATATTACTTTAGGGGGAACGCAAGAAATCACAGAGTCCTCGACAGTTATTTCTAGGGTGCTCACAACAGGTGCATCCTGAGGTCGACCGGCTGTCACAGTGATTTTATATGTCCCGGCTGAATGATAGTAGAGGGACACGTTGAGTCGTCCGTTGATTGGGCGTTGGTACAAATGGAATGCTGTGGGACAGTGACTGCAGACTGTTGTGAGTTTAAACGAAGGATAAGCGACGCTTTTACCATCGCCCTGGTCGACACAGATGCAAGCAGTGTCGGCGATTGTTAAAAAGTTGATTAAAAGAAAGCCTGGAACACCGGTTTTCAGGGAAAAATCGGTCACATGGAGACTCATGCCTCGAACTGCTGGATCAATAGTAATATGCTGATAGGTCATGATGCTGGTTTTGGGGTTGCTTAGTATTGCCTGGATAGTGTAGGCGCCAACCTGTAAAATCAATGCATTTCTAAAGGGATACACGACCGTCTTTTTTAAATTTTAGCAACTGTCTTTAAGTACTACTGAGATTTCAGTCTGCCTAATCTCATTAGGCCATTAAGTTATGAGTTGGAAAGTAAAAACACCTTGTATAATGCGCAAGGTGCAAAGAAATGTATTCTATTCAAATTCTAAGATATTCTCTTCATTCTGAGGGTTAACTAACGTGACCTGTGGTTTAATGCACACTGCATAATCGTTTATGGAGTTTTAATGATTATGCAAACATCGATTTAAGTCTAATATGTTGACATAGAAACTTTTAACACGATGTGCCATGAATCCCTGTGGGATTTTAAAGGCCTTATTTGTGGAAAACCTCCAGTTGTTTTTTTTAAGTCTGAAATGCCATCGACATTGAAATTTTAGAATTAACTGTTTCCTTTCGAATTTCACTCTAAAGAGTTATCACTGCCAGTGAGAAAGGACCAGAAACGGGACTCGTAGTCTGCATTGTTCGTACCTCGCTAAACCTGTGATAGGCTGGTTGGTCATCGAGTATTTGAAGAACTTCAAACTTGTTGGTTTCTTTGTGGGAGATGAGGAGCGTGGCGTTGGCTGCGGTGCCCACAAATGCCACAATTTGAAAACGCAGGCAACGATCACTGTTGAATTTGTCTTTGTACACCCCGAGGCCTCCATCTTCAGCTGTTTCATTGTCGGAAATTTGAATGCTCGCCATTTTCAAGTCGTAAAACAGGCAAATCTGGGTAGAAATTACCAAAGTCATGCGGAAATTGAGCAAAAGATGTTGATTTTAAGACAGATTAGGTTACTTTGTATTTTCGCACAAGGAACCAAAATGTGTGTGCATATGTACATTGCTGTTTTAGTTGTGGATGATAGTTGTCTTTGATAATTCAGTTTGGTCTAGTTCTAATTTCAAACTATACTATTTCGTTGGACTGTTTTTGGTTCGGTGTGTGTGATAGGCCCTAAACACCAAAATAGATTTATGAAATCGGGGTAAATCATACCCTTCACTACCGGCAAATCGCAATACTTCTGAATCTCCATTGGTCGATAAAGTTATTTTCAGCAATTCACTGTTATATTCAGGTGGTAAAAATCGTATACATTAATAAGTAAAACCGTTGATCGCAAGCATCACGTTCCTCAGCATATATGAAGCGATTGATTCTTTTTGTTATTAGGCTCCGTAACAATGCTCCTATTCTTGACAGGCAGGCTGAATGCTAACACGCACACAAACGACACAACGACACCAACTTGGTTGAGCTCTAAAGTAACCGGTTGTGCCCACATCCTCTCCGGTCTTTTCCTTCATCGTGGGTATCAGGGAAGCGTACTCGGGCCAGATCCAACTCAGGTTCGCACTGAAAGCTTGCTGTGACTTTACTGCCCGCACCCGAATCTTTACTTTTCCTCAGCTTTAAGGAAAACCCCATTGATTTACCTTGTCTGAAGGCTTGATGGGAAAGCTCCCATAAGAGGTTCTACAGTTCCCATTGAGTTGCTGACATCCTTCAGTAGTGATCAGCTTGTCAAAAGTAGCAGACCTCGCCTTATCTGAGAATGTCACCAAAGTGGGTATCCCATCAGCAGACGTCACAGTGCAGGTAAGTGGTTCAGAAACATCCCAATTCAAAACGTTGAGGGTTACAGACAGGTTTTTGGGTCTAAAATCTTTATACAAGTTTTAATGTTAAATTACAATAAATTCCTCGTGTACAAGTATTAATGGCACAAAACACATACACACACATTCGTTCATTTTCTAAATAAGCGAAATCCATAAATAAAGACTTCAAAAAAACACTAAGCCAAGCACAGCTCCATTACGACTTGGCAACAAATGCTATAGTTGGGATTCGTGTTGATTCAGGTCCAATAACCCAGTCGTCGCAGCGCCCGGCACACGTCCCCTCTTTTCACGACCTGCCCATTAGTCACGTGAGGCCACTGGTTCACTAACCGCTCTGCATGTCCCACCACCACCACCACCCGTTTCAGTCATGTGACTTCACAGACACCTGTTTATTTTTGTACATGTCCACTGAACCGTAATTGAACACGACTCGACTCTGTTGAGCTGTTTAGTAAACGGTTGTGCCTTCTCCACTCCGGTCTTCTTTATCTTCGCGGGAACACAGGGTAACGTATTCGGCCTAGACTGTCGCAGTGGCCCCGGCGTGGTTCAGACAACATGCCGGGGCCCTCAACACTATTTTTAGATGTGCTTGATTGAATTTCATAAGTACCAAACTGTCTTGGGATATTGGAATTTGTTTGCTTTAAATATGACATCCAAATTAATGGGACTTCATCTTGCATACAGTTGTTCAAAGACGTTGAAAGTTGGAAAAAACAAATATAACTAAATACATTTTGGTATATGTGGATGCTGCTGGTTGACATTATAAGGCAGAAAAAGTGGTTTCTGGTTGACATTACAAGAGTGGTAAAAGTGTAGTCGAATCGGGTAATTCATGTCCAATAACCCGGTTGTCGCAGCCTCACGCACACGCCCCCTTTTCACAACCCGCCCTTCAGTCACGTGAGGCCACTGGTTTCTTAACCACTCTGCATGTATCACCGCCCCCTCCCCGCTTTACCGATGTGACTATTCAGACGTCCAGTTTTACCAGCCGCTCAAGTGTAGCAGTCCGCACAACATAGCCTGGTTTGTCTAGCAAACGGTTGAGCCTCGTTCTCTCCGGTCTTCTTCATCTACGCGGGTGCTCAGGGTAGCGACACTGGCCTGATTCAAGTCAACATCCCAGGGCCCGCAACAAAAGGTTTAAGTTGAAATTACATTTAGACAAAGAGAAAGTCTATAGAAATTTTCTAAGGATCATATCCGTTCTAAATTGTGGTATTGTCTTCTACGAATAAATGCCAACTCGAAACAGAAATGTGCTTGGCAAAGGCTGATGATCAAACTGGGCTTTCAAGCCTACTTACAGCTTAGAAGAATTGAATGCGGGATTTTGAAATGAGCCGCAAGTGGAGAACTCAGGATAACAACGGTAACAGTGCAGAAGCGGAAGGTTGCTACGTTAGAGACATTGACTGCATAGTAATGAAGTCCATTCAACATTGGTCTGACTTTGAAGTTGTAAATCTCGTCGCCCCACACTAAAAGGGACAGGCAGGAATGACAACCAACCCACCGTTCTGAAAAAAAACGGTTATTATTTAGCTCACTTGCTTCTATTCAGTTCCTCACCATTAGTTGACCAGCTTTAGACAACCTTTTCTGATGCCAAATAGAGGAATGTGCAAACAGAGAACAGTGGTCGTGAAACCTCCTCATGCTGAACAACCAAGACAATCAACTAACTTGCTATCTCTACCACTTACATTACACAACTGGGGGAATGTGCGGCTAAAAGGTGGTGCTGTGTTAGTTTTTACAATTAATGCAGAATAGCAGCTGACTTACTTTGTGCGCCAGGCGATGGTTTGTCAGTGATGTTTGCTCCCGTGACCTTCACCTTGAAAAATCCGACTGCCCGAATGAAAATATTTATTTTTATTAGCTTTCCCACAGTGAAAAACGCCGTGTTGCCCTCCGGTCGACAGCCAAAATTTTCGATCCGAGGATATATGTCAGCCTCCCCAAACAGAATCATATCTGGAGCAGGCGGATCGATAAGCGTGACCTTGAACTGGTAGAATCCTGGCGACGTAAACGAATGCCTCAATGGTTTGAGGAAACTCAAGTCCTGAATTTGCTGAGTAGGCGTCCCGTCATTCCAATGGATTGTGGCTGCCATTCCTTCAATAAATGGTCCCACTACGGTTTTTAAGGTCCAGGTTAGTTCTTGCCATACTGTACCCACCACCTTGTGAGAGGGTTCAAGTTTATACACTAACCGATCACGGAGTAGGACATACACGACGATACATGCCTCCATTTCTCTATCGGCTGATACGGCTTGAATGCAGAACTTTTTAGCTCCTTCGAAGGAGAATGAGAAGTCGTATGATTTGTTGATGTGCATCGACTCATTTGGCTTGAAGTGGAAATTGTATTTTAAGTTCAGAGGTGTAGAGAATGTAACAATTCCTGCTGTACCTCCCAACACCAATAAATTAATTCGCACCATCTCTCTAACCTTTATCCTCCTAAATTTGATAAAAAGATGTCAGTTAGTCTGGTGACAGAGGTTTCTTTAGGCCTATTTAAAAGTGCCAGATATTATTTTACGCTTCGACTTTAATGGATGAATCGCTTAGTATCGTTGTGTGCCTCAGCATTAACTACAAACCTATTAAACCGACTCCTCAAAGAAATTGTGATCTCAGAATCACTGAGAGTTTTGAAGACAATGGCTTACCTTTCTGAGGTCTCAATGGAGACAAAGCTCACAGGATATTCTTCGCTGACATTGCCAGTTAGATGCTCGACCTGTCCCCCATATCCCCTGACTTCTAGCTTGAATGTATGCAGTGGTTTTGTTTGGAGGGCTCTGGCAGAAATGGTTTTTCCGACATGCGTGACAGCAACACTGGTATTGTCAATTTCAACCTGCGCTTCCATTATTGTTCCCTCGTCGTAAACAAAGACGATGTTACATTCATTAACTTTGCAGGAGGGAAATTTTAACCTGAGACCTGTTTGAAAGAGGAAAAAAATATTTGCCTCTGTAATGCACTTAAGGTAGTCGTCCTTGAGTAACTTGGGTCCAGATTCGTTCAGGTGATTGAATTTTACAATCGACCCATCTTAAATGTCTTGGAATGGCGAAGCCAAAACCATTTCTTTGTGCTATTTTGTCTTGGCGCATCTCCTGAACTGAATTAAACACTTTTCCTGGAAATTATGCAGTTTTTTTCCCGACATCGTTCTCACTTATTCAAATAATAGGTTTAAGGTTTGTGGCATTCCTGAACTCGTGAATAGGATCTCAAACAGCTATAAAATTTGGCACAAATAAAAGTAATTTACAAATTTAAAGCATGCAAGCGGGAGTCCGAAATTGATTATTTCAACGGCCTGCAAGTGGACTGGGCACACGTCTGAATTGCACTTATCGAAGAATTTTCCTACATACTGCAATGACATTATGTGAAAATTAACTGAATAGGGTTAAAATCGCCGTTAACGATCTACCACCGCAAAACAGGGCTGCGAAAAAGCCATATTTTCTTCAGCTGCAGTTCATGCCTTAATTTACCAATCTGCGACTCGATAAATCCAAATTTTCCCCAACGAAAATTTACGTCAGTGGGGTATTTTCTATCAAAGAAATCTTAGAATGCCGTTCTGAAATGAACTCGGATCCATGGTTTAAAAGATCGACAAGCGAACGAACCAACGTGTGCGTCTATCGAGAAAACAGAGCATGAACATGAGACATCTTCACGTAGTTTAAGAAATATGGTAGAAATTTGCTACTTTAAACAAGAAAGACAGTACTTCGGTTGAACTGATGGATAAGCTGAATGAATTTGGCTACGAGATCCCTCTACGTCCAAGCTTCTAATAGAGAAGCACCACAGAGTAGCCAATTGTTACTGACTTTAAGTATAACACACCAAACGAAACAGTGGGTGATGTGATTGTGGACAAGAACGCTCCACATAAAACTCTTTATTCTCACGCAATCGTGTCTATTTTAAAAGAAGAATATGCAAGTGAAGGAAGCCTGCTTGCGCATGCCTGGGCACATGGGATGCGTGCCTGTTTTTTGCCCAAAAATTTTTCACAAGGTTTAATTTGACACTTTACATATCTCACTGGTTTAGCAGTTACCTACAAAGGTTTTACATAATTAAAACAGCTTGCTTTCTAAGGATCATTTACCAGAAGTCACTGAGGCTGCAGCAACTAATGTTCGATTTTGTCACCCAATTTTAGTTAAAAAATGAGCCAACTAAATCGCCTGAGAACATACCTGTTATAATTTCGTAGACCAAAACATACGTTCTAAGGGTCTTCGCTTTCGCCGGATTGCTGATCGCCACCGTAATGGGAATGGTTCCAAGCTCCGCAAAAGTGTGACTCACCTCCGGCTGTGTTGTGAAATACTTGGCACCACCAATTGTCCAATTATACTTCATTGAACTCTGATTAATTACCCCCTTCAAGGTAAGCTTCTCTACAGTGTGCCTGGGAACGTCGCGGAATGACAGCGGAAGCACTCTGAAGTCTGGGTACAATGTGACTTGACTTTTGATAGTTAGCTTGCTGCCGACATACGGATAAACGTCCACATTCACATCGCAAACGTCGACAGCAGAGTCGAAATGGTGGAGCACTCGAGGGTGCATTGTAGTAATGATTGTGGTGTTTGAGCACTTAAACGTCCACTGATATTCAGCTGGAGGCTTCATAGCTGGAGAAAGAGAGAACGAACATCTGCTTTAGTTCAGAACGACGAACTCATGACTTCCACTCCCTACAACACTAACCTCTGGCTTGTCTAAGCCAAAATCCCCAGATCGGATCTTAGCATTGCGTTCAAATTCCATGATTTCTGTGTTATAGTAAACACGACTTCCAGAAAACTCAAGAAAAATTACCTGGCGGTGGTGGTTCCAGGAACACGGCGGCATTCGCCTTGTTCAGGTATGCAAGGCTTCCTAGCCGCAACGTCTTGATTGGCTCCACGACTTCCACAATAGTTGACGTGGTAGTTGCGACACCACTGTCACAGGGGTAAAATTTTGGCCTCACCACAACCCCAATTGACTTCGATCCGATTGTTGTAAAAACGGAATAAAAGACCTTTTCCACCACAGTCTTATAACTAAACGCCAGCATCTAGGGGGAATGATAAAGAGAAAAAAAAGGCCAAAAAAATTGAAATTTCTGCTTAGCCGTGAACTGCGTGGTATTTGGCAGTCTAGTGGGATTGAGTATTGGGCACCCTAATCGGACAAAAACAATTCCTAATTTGCTAATTATGGACTGACTTTAAAATTTAATCTCAAAAATTTCCATTGCTGTGTGTTTCTCTACTACTAGTCGGTTGAGATTGATAAATATTTAAATGGCAGAAAGCATTTGAAGACCGAAGGGTCTGTGATTACGTTTTTGGGTAATAAACCCTTAATTGTTGGATTTCACGTGTTTCCATGACATACCTTGTATTAATACCGGTGCTATTTTCATGTAATGAGTATTTCTGTTCCGAATTATTCATGGCACGTATTAATAATACTTCTCTTTATCCACGGATTATTTATGGAATTGACAAAATGAATTTAAACATCGAAATTTCTTATTATACTAAACACTTAATTGAGTTTATTCCAAATTTAATGAGGTTTCTGCAGCATGTCGACCTAATTTGTCTAAAATATGCCACCAAGTACGCCGATTTTGTTATTTACAGCGAGTTCACTTGTAAATTTTAACATGTGCCAAAACCAAAAGCAATACAATAGTACTGCAATGGTCTTCTAATCATTTTTTTTCAATTTTTGCTTAAGACAAAGCTGTTTTTTTGTTCTTGCTGCGTTGGGCACTTACAATATTGCGAAATATTTGTGTTAATTGTATTACCTTGACATTTTTTTTCGTTACAGCCATCTGCCTTTCTGAGACCTGCACCCCAACATTTAGATCCGAGCTGGTTGAGGTTAGGATGCGATCAGATTGGCCCGACGAGTTGGAACATTGCAGTGGTGAGTTGTCGGGTGAACCGGTTGCAAAGAAACCCAACCGAGAGCCTCGTACAACTTTCCAGGCATCACCAAATTCCACGCGACGCCTGCCAGGATTCATTGGTTCAGTTACAGCAAGTTTCTAAAAGTGAGCGTTTTTTCATTGCTCAACTCAGACTCCCACAAATTTCCAACCAGATAACAGTGAGCCTAACAATGTAACTATGAATGGTTACACGAGATTTTGCCTCTTCTCTGTTTGCAAATTAATGTTACCAGAACTGAACCGATTTGAACGGCACCCCTTTTAACAGTTACAAAGTTTGTAATTTAAAAAAAATGTGGCTAAACATGCCACATCTTTCCCTGCATATTCACTAAATCGATTTGGATAGACGTACTGTGGTCTGTGTGTGCAAGAATCAATCCAAGTGTACAGTTTTGTTCCGTGAGATATTTAACGTTAGTGTTTCCAGCTTATGCTATTTTTCAACTTCTATGCTTGCCATGTTCAACGAATGAAATCAACGAATTGCACCTCATCAAACAGTCTATTTCTAGACAATTGCCATTTAGATTCGTGTGGAGCTACACTATCATCACAAAACTGATTCTTTTAAATATCGAAGGAGTTGCTAATATGTAGCCTCATTGTGTTTTCAAACCACATATTTTAAGTGACACTATTCGCTCTTTTAGTTAAAATTAGACGCCAAATGCTCCTAATTAAAACGTTGCCATAAATCCTGAGGTCGATCTCCACTTTGTCTTGGGGTTGAACTCAAATCACCAAAATTTTTTACCGGACACATAAATCTCCTTTTAAGAACAAATGAAGCTGCCAATTTTCAAGATTCCTTCAGGAAGTCGAAAAACGTTTTGTCGTGAATCGTGTTTATCCAACCCCTTAATCCGATCGCTCCGCCTCCGACACAGGGTTCCCCTTCTTCGCAGCATGGCGACAGCCGCGCGAATCCTCAACTCCCCCCTCATTCACACGAATATCTATCTTGGATTATCCTCACACCTACGTCTCGATGTTAGTGCATCTATGACTCACGTATCCGAGGTATAAATACACATGCGCAAACCCCACACTCGACACAACGACGCCAACGAGGTTGAGCTCTGAATTAAACGGTTGTGTCCACGTCCTCTCCGGTCTTTTCGTTCATCGCGGGTATCAGAGAAGCGTAATCAGGCCAGGGTTAATTCTGTGGCCCCAGCATGGTTCAAGACCACATGCTGGGGCCCACAACAGTTTCATCACAAAATGCTTACAACTAGGCGACTAAAGCACATAGACCCTTACTACTTAATCATGTTAATAACGAGTTAATTTCGAAAAGACCTGTGTCTGCACTCAACTAAAGGTGAAGTGACTTTGGCTCCCATGGACGCAGGGTTTAAACTCCGCAAAATTCGGCTTTTTCACCTGTAACTCAGAGGTGAGACGGTGGTGAGATTGTAAAGATACGACTTATAATACATCACAATGACTCTTTTCTACTCGCATGTATCTTCAGTAGATGGAGTATTTTATGATAGTCTACTGAAACACTAGAGTATGGGGCCCAACGTGCTTTGAACGTACGTTAGTGACGATTAGCGACAGGGGTGATGCGGTGCCACAGCTGTCCGTTGAAATATCATAGGCATTCCCTTGTCCGCAGTTCGGCTTCAGGAGCTGGAAGGAACATAACAAAGCATCAGAACAACGTATCCAGTAGAGTGGTTAACCGCGCTTTTCAAGTCATGTTTTGGTAACGTTGGGTTTTTATAAGTTTTTCATCAAATTTCCGTGCCTCGGGGGCGAACTAGTTTAAACGTCACTGGGTCAACTTCGTTAACATTGTATGAAAAGGCCAAGATCAAATCCTGACAAGGCAGTCTAATTACTGACAGTTTTAAGCAACCAAACGGTAGGCAGATTGCATTTTGAACACAAACTTAATATAGGATTGTGATTCTCTGTAAGTAATGAATCGCGTTTGGAATTGTTTGCGTTTAGAGACATAATACCACTGATGATAGCTTCTGTGCACTCAAAATCCGCAGTAGACGACTATCTAAAGATGGCTTCCTCGACTTTCGTTTGATTTCGTCATGCAAACGCGCATGATCTCAATAGTCAACCACGTTTGTTGTAATGGCCTCAAACCAAGCAGGCACCCCATTTGTAAACCTGTCAAGTGCAGTAAGTCGTGTTAATTCACCAACCATCAACCCAGTTGTAGCGTTCTCAAATACACCGCCTACCTTTTCACAGCGTGGCCATCAGTCACGTGGGACAGCACCCTCACAGGCCCTGTGCATACACCCCCGCAATCCGTTTTTATCATGTGGCCGTTCACAATGTGTACTTTTACAAGCCCACCCAGACTGTCTTGATTAATAACCACGTTAGTCATGCACTACCTTTGTCTTCACGTACGTGACAATAACAACTTGTTCGAGCTTTCTAGTGAACGGTTGTCTCCGTCATCTGCAGTTATCTTGGGTAGCGTTATCGGCCAAATAACGCGGACCAGGTATGGCTTTAGACTACATGCCGGGGCTTTTAACAACATTCAGGAAGTAAGTGGTTGAGTTAATGGTTTTAGCTTGTTGTAGGCCTCGGCATGTTGTCTCGAGCCGCACAAGGGCCAGATACTACTACGCTGATACCCGGGAAGACCAAGAACGGAGGTGCCGGAGGCACAATTGTTTACCGGCTAGCTCAACCAAGTTGCATGATTCGCACTAAAGTTGAGTCTAACTAACGGGGTTGTTGACCTACACAGCCTAGGTGAATTTGCAAAAGTACAATTTTCTGAATAGTCGGATGAATTGAATGAGCAGAGGCGTTCAGGGGTGAATTAGCAGACGATCCAGCATGACTGACGGCTGTGCCCTGAAAAATGTTGCCATGTGTCGGTGAATTCGACGATCGAATTAATAGACGTGAACTAACACGATCCACTACAACTTTTCTTTAACAAATCCCTTAAACTGTATTTTTGTTGTCATTGCCTACTTCTCATGAATTTAGCTTATCTTTTAAAAGCAGATATTTTTAAGTCCACCCTAACCAAGCAGAGAACAGGGGGGAGGAGTGTTCCAGGATCGTTAAATACTCAACGCATAACTTCGAAACATTGCCTTATTAAGGTCTTGTAGACGCTACTCAATTGCAAAATAAGGCCCTAGTCAACGCAATACTCAACCGATTTACCTCTACACTAAGAGAGCTGGCGTATAGCGTGACAAGGCGTTAGTTTATATAGGAACGCTTGACATTCAATCTCTGAAAACGTGTAGCTGCGTGAAGTAGACCAAGAAAATTTACTAAATTCACGTTCACGCTCCCCTTTTAAGAGAGTTTACGAACGACCTTGAATACATCTCACATGGAAGTGGCGGTCACCGACGGCTCCATAGTTGACGCCCCTGATTCCCAGAATCAAAACTGTCGTTTTGCTTCATTCTGGCTTAAGATACTCTTATAAGGAACTTCAACTTACGTATATGTTCAAGGTGGTTGACGAAAGAATGGTAAGGTAGACCTCCGAGATCAGACCGTCATCAGTAAACCTACTCGCGGAGATGATTGGGCCCTTTCCCGAGCAGATTTTTGTGGGCGACATCTCGAGTAGCCTGTCTCCCACATATTCTCGTATTTCTACTAAACATTAAAAAAAACTTCGGATCAAGCAAGTCCAGGTGTAACTTTAGTAGAAGCATGAAACTTGGATGATGGTAAACAAGCAGAGGATATAACAGATATATCCGTTTGTTCACATTGAAGATATATTTGTGTTGGGTTACCAAGGTGTTTTATGCAAACATAAGAATTTTACTTCCAAGTACTAATTTACTGAATATGAATCAGTGCCGTGGAGGCAAGGGAAACTGATTTTATTCGCCATGAGGTGCAATTGATAATCAGAATACGTGAGACGGTAGAGTTAGTCAGCATCTTCCTGTTATAACCACACCACAAAATGAAATCTTATAAGCCTATGTAGCTTGCCATATTTCTTACTGAAATTCACAGGAGATATGGGAATTGTAACGCAGATAAAGGAGGAAGCACAGAAGTGCATTGAATGAATCGTTTCATGGGGTTGAAGTTGCCTCGCAGTGAACTAAATATTTCACTTAGCATTTAGCTTATTATTTCCTGAAGTACGTTTTCCCTACTGTCGCGTGATGAAGTATTTTTACAATAACCGATAGCAGTTTACGTAGACTACTCATTTCAATTCGTGTCTGCAGATTCTTGCTCCCAGTCATTTGGATGACAGTCTGCAAGATGCAGTTTTCCGCAGTTCGGTCTCAAAATATTTACCGCTTGCAATTTCAGATATCGATGTTATCAAAACACTTGTAAAGTTTTCATGTTCCATTTCAGAAAGACCCAAATTTGCTTCGTTTCTAGCTGAGTTTAAACTCAATTTGTCGAACTAATTTACGCCCTGCCGTGCCGTACACGTGGTCTTCTTTTATTGTTCCGTTCATGGCTTGGCATTGGTTAGAATCCCCTTACATTTCCACTTTCTATTTATTGTTGAACCCACTCATCACCTTCCACCTTTGGAGCTTCTCTAGTTAAAGGCCTTAATGGAGGTGGTAAGCGTCGAAGTCCGAAGCCCCGAAAAATTTCACCATACATCGTACTGTTTCGGTGCTATTGCAATCAGTTGGGTTTGTCACAACACCATGCTAGGCCAGTTAACTTCACATGTCATCATCATCATCATTTTCAACGAATGTGGTTTTACAGCAAAATCCATTGGCCCACCTTCTACTCTGACATGGTAATTAGGCCTCACTACTTACTCCTGGGCTGTTCTGAGTTGTTCGATTGTGCCTCAACGTTACTCACTGCAATTATGATAAAATAACCAGAGATATGGGCGTATTTACTTACTTTCCTACCTACTGCCTTTAATGTAGGTAAAATTGCACCCAGCGTCATCATTTTGACCTTTCTGAGAGATTTATAGTCTATCAATGGCTGCGCCACCTTCATACGCGTGATTAAACCAAAGGTGCGACGAATTCTCAGGAATCCCATCTGTCCTTGTAACTTCTGTTTTCCATATTTAGTCAGCCAGACACTGTGAGTTCAAAGATAAAGTGCGCATTTCGGAAATAATAGAAAATATGTGGACGTTAACAAGTTTAATTTTTCAGGGAAAATTTTTGCCATCTAGCCTAACTCGATAGCTTGGCTTGTTATCGAATTTATCACTGAAAAACAATATCATCTTGCTGTAGGTGAGGAATCGGCATTTCAGGTAACAAATGAGCAAATATCTTTGAAAGTGCAAAATACAGAAAAAAATTACGATTTGGGGTGTAATTTTAATATTTTGGACCAGCTAAATAACAAGGTAAGGAAAAGAGAACTGCGTTTTGAAAGAAACAAGAAATTAAGGCATGATGGCAACTGGGTTTTTGCTCTTTTGAAGTCACATCAAACATCTGTGAAGTGTTTGAAGAAATCACTACTGGTGAAATATTACGACTTGATTTCAAGCCATAGTTTCAGAAAACACTGCGGATTATAGTGACTATTATGCCCAGGTTACGTTATATCATGTAACGAGAGTTTAAGCTAGCTTCTATCAAAACGCTTTTGGCGTTGACTGTAACAATCTAGAACAGGATGAAGCATTTAAACCGATTACGAAACTGCACAAGTGTTTTAGAGAGAACAAAAGCAGCACGAACTGACATGGCCACTGAAATGGCTGTCTCGGCTGCGATTCCCTCAGGATGTCTCCATTTGCACTTGGTACGCCGGCGAGCCTCAGTTGGCAGGCGAAACTCGAATCAACCAGGACGTACAGTGGACACTGAAGAAGTAACTCGATTTGTTGCATGACCTAAAATGTGGAAATTGTAGGTTTAACGCTCAAAAAATACCAGTGGACTAAGCTACTGTCAGCAAGTATGGGGAAATGAAGGCAGTTTTGGGATTTGTTTGATGCTAACTAGATACATTTTTCGAGCAAGTTTTAATTGAAGCCACTGCGTTCTCTTTACTTAGAAGCTAGCACTCAAAGCCATATTCTTGGAGAAATTTCTTACCAATGGGCAGCAGATGGTGACTTGGAAGTGGAGAAGGGATATCACTCCGAGGGCTAATGAAATCATTTTCTGTGTTCTTGTTGATTTGCCCTAGATATTAAAACAACTGAAAATCTAGTACTTTTTTTAAAAAACCCCAAATTCCAAATAGTGATTCTTGTTGAGTTTGTGAATGTAGGTTGTATTTTTTTAACCTTAGATCCATCTTTTTAGAAGTTGCGCTAATTGGAACCTGCTACGTGTTTTCCGAAACCAATGTTACACACTCAGAGAACCAAAACGACAATTCCTTGCCTAACACATGCCCCATCCTCCCAACAACTAGTGCAGAGAACTTTTACGGTCTCAGTTAAAGGCCGGGTGACGCGCCAGAATTCACGGCTTATTTAATGTATGTGTGACCTTGACCTGAAGGATGAAGGCGGACTAACACAGATGGGGCCGTCAATGAGGTGCCGTGGATGACTGAACCACTTGAGTGGCGTGGTTATGAGGGGTTGTGTAAACAATGACAAGATCTCAATTAGCTGCAAACCCTATTTGGGAATGGTGGTTTCCTCAAGGCAAATCTCTCGTAGTCACTTTAAACACTAATGCAAACACAGAACGCTCATGTCTGTCAACGTGTCATACTTTGCAACAGCTAAACAGAGCGAAACAACTTGGCTGTGCCAGAACAGAGACTTTCGGCAAATGAGGGAAGTGCTCAAGCTTTGACAGTTATGCTTATAAACTGAAACGCATTATTACGCCGATTTGCTATGAGGACTGGATTGAAAGAAAATTATTTAAAGCCGGAAACTTCTTTAATTTCTGCAGCAAGCTATTTGAAAATGTGAAACCTCTAAACAAAGAAGGTAGTGGCGATCAAACTTACCAAAATTAAGCACTGCAACAACTACCAGTACTGGCCCCTGTTCAGATACAAATCGTGAAGAAAATTGCAAATTTGAGCCTTATATACAACCTAGACGTGAGGGTGAAGGCAGGAGATATACACAATGTTACATACCTTTGTGGCAAGTTACAAGTTCATCGGGTAATGTAAGCTTCTGGGAGCAACTTAATAGCCTGGCAACGATTGTTGGTGGACTTAGCAACACAAGAAAAGTTACCAAGTCGCCATTTCAAGTGCTCCTTCCAAGACCAATGTGTAAAAAATGGATTTTGCGATTGTACGCTTTTCTCATAATAAGCTATAATTCATCCATTTAAAGGCAAAAAGCAGCCGCTTTTTCTTTACCTGCTTCAACTACTGTTTCCAGCGTCGAAAGAAGAATTCTTCGGTAGCTATGTAATTGGGAGTTTCCTCATAGGAGTTCTGGAAAAAGGTAAAATTTGTACTCCCTTCTAATGAACTACAGGTAATTGAAATTGCCAATGAACGAATTATGACTGGGGACGCTCACGAAAGCGCTCACTTCTGGAGCAGAAACTAATTAATAAAAGAAGCGACTCAAAACCAAACAATACTTAGAAAGTAAAAGCTTATCAAAATGCAGAAAAATCACGGTTTGGGGTACAATTTTAATATTCTGCATCGGCTGAATAACAATGCAAGGAAAATGGAACTGTGATTTGAAAGAAACAAGAAATTAGGCCATGAAAGGAGACTGGGTTTTCGCAATTCGATGACATTTAGCACCAATCTAACTAAGCCACTGAGATGGTGCCACCTAGGTCTAGGCCATTCTTTATTGTCAGTGTTGGTGAAATGCATCGGATTAGGGATTCCAGTTAACTTCCAGATAATATTGCCTGAAATGTCACAACTCTCAAAGCCTCAGCTGTTCATGAGAATGGAATTTAGTGCTCACTGGTCTTTATTGTTATAATTTTAAGTGGTTTCTTAATAACTAACTGTCATGCCTCATTTGTCCCCTCGGTCCTACATGAGAAGACGCAAAATGTGGTTTCCTTATTCAAGTACTTCAAGCATAATTTGTGCCTCAGAGGCTCAATGTTTAAGCAAAAGTTACCGTTTCCGCTACATATTTCCACGAGTGTCATTTTTAAAACAAGACGATTTTCAAAAAAATATCTGCAATGTACTCAAAATATTATGCAAATTTCTTCATCCGTCATGTTTTTCACTAAACCCTTTAGCTGATAGAGCCACTAGCAACTTCTAACTGGCAAACTTTCAATGATGAAGGAGTAAACACATGCCATGACCCAAGTCACGCATACATTTAACCCTTAACGGTTGTCGCTGCCAGCTGTCCCGTTCATGCTTAGCCAGTACCTAAATCAGGTGACTGAAGCCCACGTTGGCTTTGCATGACATGTGTTGTGATCAATAACTCATTTGAATATTCCCTCCTCTGTGTTACCCTTAACAAACGCGTATCCCTACCTAACTTAGCAATTCATGGCGGCTGCAGCAACGGGACAAGGAGCGACTTCTGTGGCAGGGAACGGAACAGCACGACCCCTCGTTCTCACGCGAAAGATCAACGCAGGAGCGAACTCTGCACAAACAAAAGTCCCCAACACCTACCAGTTGGAGCCTTCTAAGGAATTCGCCTTTGCTACTCACCGAGAAGCAATTAGAGAAATTATCAGCACCTGCCTGGAAGAGGCCCTCAATGCCTCCGAAGCCGACCCGAAAGACGTTCTCATGAACACCCTAGCCAAGATAAAATCGGATTTACTCCAGCTACAGGCTGTGCTCTTCCCACGACACAGGGTAGTTGTGCATGGAATTATTGGAAACATTGGACATAACCAACCGTCCCTCATTTACGGAAGTCAGTGTCTGGCATCACCTGAATGCGGAGATGATGGAGTTAGTGTCTCGGTGAAAAACTACGATAGGTTCTTATGTGTATGTGCGTTTGGTTCGTACCAAAGCTAGGCTTGTATTGTCCAGTAGACTATAATCTCAGTAAAGTGGGACTGCTTTAGGAACTAAAAGCATTGTTATATTTTTTGTATGATACACCTAAGGTATTGCTCTGGTTTGTATTCTTTATTGCTAAAATACACATAATCCCAAACAAACTGTTTTGGAGCACTTTTGTGAGGTGAAACCGTTGCAGCACCAAGTGTAACATGTGCCCTAATAGGCCAAATGTGAATACTGAAGAAGTTTGGAAATCCGAGCATTTCCGAATTCGCTGCAGCATCCAGACCTGGTATTGAGGGACTTGAAGCCACATCCGAGACAACGACGAAGTTGACACGGCGTGACCGTGGCAGAGATGTAAAATATCCGTATAACTATGCAAGTCAATGAATGAAACAACCAGAAACAATATAATCTGTTAGCTCATATCTGGTGAGAATAATGAAGATCTTTCGTGAGCATATCTCACATAGGGGTAGTAATAGGCAATACGACTAATTATTGCACGAACACGTAGGTTTAGCGAACTCTACAGCAGGTAAATGGTTAAAGAATGCAATCAGGCTAAAAACCTTCCAAACTTTGCTGATTTTCAGGGCACTTCATGTCTTCAGGACATATAAAAGAGTGTGGCTCTCTCGGTCTGGTGAATTTTTGTCCTCTTTTCTGTGGCTGGTAGAACCACGATCACAGCAAAGTTGTGGTATTTACATAGTTCCCCACATTCTGCAAATGCCTGGTTAGCAAGTACACTAACGTTTGTGAGTGGTTAGAGCAACTGTCTCCACCGACTAACTGCCAGATAGTTAAAAGCTATTTCGGCTGCACGCGTATTTGCTACCAACGAATTCCTTGGCTTAGTGTGTGGAGTTTCCCGCCATGTCGAAACGCTTATCAGTGCCTCCAAATAAATTGCCCTCCTGCGCACTCGTCCTTCACATAACCCAGAGCATAAATCTATTTTAAGCTATAAAATACACCAATTGTATTTTTTTTTAAAAAGTACTCGTTTACACGGAGACAGCATTCGCAGCGTGAGTTGTCTATCCATGATCCGCTGTAAGGCGAAGTGATGAAATTTACTACTACACGATCAACACCACGTATCACTCAAGGCCGGAAGAAACTTTTTTAATTCTCCGAATCCCCTGCTCGTCCATCTGTCCCTGACTTCATGGTGTGAATTCCCGTGATTTCTTTTGAATCGCGTTGTTACCCACTCACTAACACGAATCATGGCGACTGTCGTGCCTGTCCAATAAACACTCGAGGTAGACGCTTGTGGGGCTTTTTACTCTTTTTTTGGATACCTCGTGCATTATCGAAATGCAGCAACTTCAGCTAGTGAATTGTTTGCGGTACACGGAAGGGGTTTAGGCGAAATGTCACATGTTACAGGTCAATTCGAATCCAGATGGAATTGAACTAAGCGAAGAAGTGTGAAGAACCTATTCCACTCGATTTTCTCAACCACCATGGTATTTGAATGCAGTGCCGTTATTCATGAGTTCATCCAGTTTTATTTATACCTGCAATGGCAAGTAGGACAAAAGATTTAACCTTTATTTTCCTATCAAATTTTTAATCTGATAATAAAACTAGTAATCACAGTGCAAAGTAATCACTGTTTAATTTTGCCGGACTGGTATAATCCTTCTTTTTGCTTTGTGAATTGTGACTTTTCGTTGCACCTTCCGGCTTCTCATTGTGCTAAAGTTTTGGAGTCCCAGTATTAGAAAGAAATGGAAGAAAATGCGAAAGCCACCCAATTGCTTCATTTACTGTTTTGGCATTGGTCAGGTGATTATCTAGCATCTGTAGAATCTTCTCGTCGAAGAAGGGATTCATCCTGGTTAACTTAGACCCCAGGATATTGAGAATAGTGTCTGGGACTTCACTATCGACGATATACGTTTCATTGGAGGTTTTCAGCACATTGATATACAGCAGGATGGGTAATTGTCTCCACAAATTCTCATTGTACATCTCGTCTTGTGGGTCGTCAGTGGACAATGTATCAAAATTTTGAGCCTCTTCTTGCATTTCGGACAAATTTATCACCACCGCATCGAGGATTTGAAAGAACAGTTGACGCGTTAAGTCATGATGGCGACTTATACGTGAAACAAAGAAGTTAATCAAGTCCGGATGAGGAATGTTGTACAGCAGATCTGCAACGGTATAATAGATTACACCAACCAATCGATAATAGATTTCGGAATAACAGTATCTTGGAGGTGGAGGATGGAACGTCGTGCGCAATATTTTATACACTTGGCCATCCTCATGACGCCTTTTCGCCTCCCAAAAAGCATCGAAATTTCTCTGCCGTGGACTCATGGCTCGATCCATGAGATGCATCAAGGACTCGAAAACATTCCCAATGCCAGGTTTCATCAAAAAGTGGAACTTTCGTGCTAGATAAGCGAGAGCGAAGCAGGCTTCCTGTGCCACGTCTTGGCATTCTAGTATTAAACAAGTTGAAACTGCGCCATTAAGTCGCGCTGAGTTGTACCTCATCCAGTCCGAAAATTCCCTATCCATTTCTTCCGTTGCCGCTAACTTGCATAGTGTACTTAGACATCCGGCTTTCTCCGTGAGGGTAGTTTTCCTTCCATTCGTCAGATCGCCGTTCAGCTTATGGAGGGCTTCTTCAATCAACTTGAAAGTCGACTCTTGTCTTGAGGAGGTGAATTTGGGGACAAGACCAACGCGACTGAGGAAAGCAGAAAGTGGGAAGCCGTCTACTGACCAGAGGTGATCCAGAATAGCGTTATTAGCCTGTTTCTGGACTCTCTTAGTGAACGCCCGAAAGTCACTGCGTGCTTTAATTGAATGTACCTGGCGTGCCTCTTCAATATCAGACCAGTCATACCGGCTTTCGATGTAGTCGTCGATTGACATCATTCAGTCCATGCGAAACTTACGCAAACACACACACGCGTGCACTGTAAGTTCAAACTTACGGTCGATTTTTGGGAACACGTGGCAACCTGATGTTTTTTTTAAGCCGACCACAGACATGACTAGGGAATGAGGTGCATTCGGAAACCAGATTTTGTAGAAAACTCAGGTTTTGACCTTGCTTGAGCATTCAGGAATCTGGCTGGGTTAGTGTGGGGCATCGTGGAAGAACAGCGTCCTCCATAACTTTCCTTCAAGCCCCAAATTCTATCAGTGGTAGCAGTGAGGCATCCTCTTCTGAACCGTTGACAGTCTCGCACTTGAGAATTTGTCCAAGTATGTAACTCAGATACTCAGAATCCTGAAAAGTAGCCTGTAACTTTGAAATTTAGTTCGACAAGACGTGCTGTCCTCAGCTGAAAAATTTAGCTACTAGGTACTGATCAGTAATTCAGTGTTTCTTGTCATAACCAGATTTACCTAACTGGAAAAATATAGTAATCCTTTTTGTGTTTCTAGACCCATTGTCTAGACTATTATAAGTAAACCTGGGATATCACTTTATGCTAGGGAAACACTATTGTATCTAGCATTGTATCAATACTGTCCTTTGACAATTTTAGTAGTAACTAGCCAACCTCTTAAATCTACAAAGCTTTTTATACCGTGCACTGCTAGTAAAAGTATGCACAATGACAGCAACCTGTACTAAGGGTGTGCGTATTTTATTCCTAAAATCGAAATCAGGTTAGCTTGGGAGTTACTATTCTACCTTAATCACTTTAGTAATTTCTGTAGGGCCTATAAAAGTTTGTCTTGACACATGCGTCCGATGTTTTAATGACAGAAAGCCTAGCTCAGATTATAAATCTGTAAAGATGCAACCCAAAACACTCATCTAAATGAAGAGAATACTAGATGGAACATTGGATACCAAGGGTCCTAGATCAGACTGTACAAGACGTAAATTACCGACGTAGCTTTTGAGGTAAATTTGCTCACCGCATAGTTAAACGCTAATAGTCTGGTGGAAACACGTAGCCACCTTGCATTAGTGGACGAATGCTGCGTTAGTAACCTTGACGGATTTTGAAATCACCAGAGTAGATTAAGTGACCTTTTTCCTACCTCGTGCACTCATTAAGTGTTGGGAATCATGTTTATTAACGCTCATTAATCCGGTCGCTCCCCTCTCCAATACACTGCTCCCTTTTAACTGTGTGCCATCGGCCTTGAGGGTACTTCAAGTCACGCCGGTTTAGCACAGATGTTTAGCCTGAACTACCACTATGTTTAATAACAGACCCCCCTAAGTTTCTGTTATCCCCTCATGACTCATGTCGTGTCACAAATCTGAGCCATAAATGCACACGCGTAAACGCCACACACGACACAGCGACAACTTGGTTGTGCCGGGCCAATTTCAACGTAGTGGCCCCGGCGTGGTTTGAGACCGCATATCGGGGCCCTCAAGTATGTAGAGACGTTGACAGGGCGACTGCGAAGGTCAACAGTTTATTGTTGCGATAAAACGATGGCTGTTGCGCTTAACAATGGGCTGGTATGTATGCATGTTTCCCATGTCGATGGAAGTTAAGTAACTGACCTGAAGAAAGTAGGGACATTTGGGAGCTAAGTTGGATACAGCCCACGTAGGCGTGCAGAACATCAGCAGGTAGAGGAGTAGTCGGTACCTACCACGTATGTGAATCACCAACACCGCGAAAAAGAGGGTCTTTTATTCACCTGACAGGGCCAATAACTAAAACGGCTGACAAAGTCACGTGGTTTGTGATGATGTGTGCGCGAGCCAGCAAAAAGTCTATCCCCTGATTGGTTGTTCGGGCTACAAAAATATCACCCCATGTTGAAACCCTGGGAATTCGCAAGGCCTCGTTGTCAGTGTTATGAACGGGAATTTTTCAGTTTTCTGCCTGCTTCGTGTTAAGTGTGTTTACTTCTTTTCGCACAATAGTGCTACTTTGTATCTAACCCTTCAGTGTCTTGACTGTACACGACTAAAGGTCAGCCCGGATTCTGTAACTTTTTGATAACGACGCAGTGAAGCACTTAGGATTTCACATGTGCAAAGTTCAACCATGCGCTACAAAACTAAGCACTGAATGCTTTGCTCTGGCAGTAAGTACTTTTATTTCGTTGGAGGGGTATCCCATGCGTCAATTCCGCTGAAAAAAGTTCCAGCTAAATTAGTACAATTAATCGAATTTTAGGTGAAAATTCGTTAGAGTTGCAGGCGGCCTACTCACTAGCTGTATGTGACTTACGAGAAGGATCAATTTGCAGGACCATAATTAAATAAACAAAGATTGTCATTTTCCTTTTTCTCACTTATGCCACTTCATTCATAAACTGGAATATGGGGCATTATAAACTCATTAAACCTAGCGAATGTTTGCGACAAGGTCATTGGTTGTGACACAAGTCGACTCCGTTGGGACGTGCAGTGGTACTTTGGCAATTACGTGTTTTGCCTTGTACTGTTAACTAGATACCTTTTCCATGGACCTTAATAATGTCGTCGTTCTGTAATTTGGCACCCCGGATCATGCAATACAAATGTTTTGCCTCCCGATTGGGATTCCTGGGTTAACTGCAAAATTTAAATTCCTATCATTGGTGAATAAGCTTTTCAAAATTCTCTACCGATAATTTACCTCACGGACACTGGCATTGAGGATTTGCGTGCGTACTTTCTGTTAGTTCTACCGTTATTTTAGCTTCCCTTTTAACGCCATCGAATTTCACAATACAGGACTAGAAATCCGATCTTAATTATTCTCATGTTTATTAAATCCAATTCTTCAAATAATGCCATTGTCCTAAAATGAACCTTTCTTATAAAATTTTCCAAAAAGGAAACGCTTAAACTTGAATGTTTTTGCTCTATGTACTTTAACATCTATTTCTCATTTTGTCTATGGATCGGGTGATTGCAAATGTGTGTGTTTTATAATCGTATCAACCAAAACATTTTCTAACTGCGTCAGCAGCCAGCAGAACCTTAGAAAGGGTTTTTTTAATTTTTATTTGTGTGCAGGGCAAATTATGAGTTGCAGTTTCGTCATGTTTTATCATATGACTAACAATTTTCCTTTATTACTAATGAATTTAGTAGTGACTTAGCCATTAGCAATCTACGGATCTCTGCTAATGAGATTGCTGAGAGAGTGAACGGTGACAAATCGACGGCATTTTTTAAGTTAAAGGAACATGGATATTGGATCCAGGAAAATTTTGCAGTACATAACGAACCAAGTCGCACTTCCACAGCCCTCTCTCTCTCTTTGTGCATCAATCGAACGAATTTTCCTTGAATCAAGTCATGACTGGAGGTGACAAAATGGTACTGCATTACTGCACTACAAGAAAACGAGGCTGAAAGCATGAAGTAAGGAGCATAATCTATGACAAAAACGGAACTGCCGCTTCATGTTGTCATGTGTCTTATGGGGCAATAGATGAGCAATAATCTTTTACGAGCCTCTTCCACATGGCTAACCAGTAACTGCGGAAAATTACTTTGAGCGACTCCACCAAAGTCCTAGTTAAAAATTTAGCCAAAATCTGTAGCTCTGGTCAGTAGGAAGGGCAACGCTAAATCGTATACAACACAATAGATTTTTCCAAATAGCAGGAAGTAAATATGGGCAATTCTCCAGCGGTTCCGGCTGCATTCATCAGACGTTGCTCCTCTAGATTTTCGACTGTTGCACAGTAAGTTAAATGGCAGGGATCAAAACTACCATCTCGTGGTTCCTTCATAGATGAAAATCTAGAATACTGAGAGGCAATAGCTGGATTCGTAGAAGATAACACCTTTTATTATTAAATAGTGATTTTTATGTAGGCACGATATTTCGCAATAACCCAACATTGACCTACGCCACTTTATGCTTTCAAAATGATCGTGTTAAGGGCCCGGTATGTGGTCCCGATTGACCCGATTACGCTACGGGGATACTCGGGAAGGTCAAGAAGAGTGACGACGGTGGAGACAACTGTGTAGATGTCGCAACCTTGTTGTTTCGATGCATAGAAAGCCATAGGTGACTAATGGGGGTCCCTAATCAACACAGCCTGGGTGAAATTGCAAAAGTACAAATGGCTGAATGGATAGATGCATGAAACGGGTAGCAAGATCAGGGGACAGGAGCTCCGTGTGATCGATTGGGATGCCGTGAGGGGAAGGGGGTGGGTCTGAATTAGCGACGAATCATCATACAGGCTCTGAGCCAATCGGAGTTTTCTCTTGCCTGGCAGGTAGCTAGTTTGTAGTCGTGGTAGATCAGACGTAAGCAGACCCTAATAGTTATTGAAAATTACGAATTAACGAGACAAAGTCCTTTAATTATTGAACATTTCCATATCTGAATTCAACTAAAGGTGTACGTTAATAACAATGATTCCTAAATCGTGAAACAATGGTTTGTTCGACGCTATTGAAATTTCTAACTATAACTACGATTTGCTAATACCTGGGCTGCTCTCTGTGTTCCCAAAGAATTTTGCAATATCGTTTCAAAGGTGGCCACGACCACAAGTTAACATTTGCATGTTTGCTTACCCCACGCCACCGCGATTCCAACTCTGCATCTCCCTTTATTTTCGCAAGTACAAACCTCGCTCTTGGTAGCCCCCCAGCAGTTTACAGCTTTGGGGATTAGGGATTGCGTTTCCTGCATCCCTGAATTTTAGTGAACAAATTTCCGCTGAGAAGTCACGGGTTGTGCACAACACAACCATTTCAAATTAGGAGACGGCAGTTTATCACAAATCACCAAACTACCAGAGGTCATAATTATACAATGGTATTAGATTTTGGGAAATGTTGGCAAATCTACGATTAAGTGTGTCTCACATGCTTAAACCTTGAAGAGACAAGAGACAATTTAAAGGAACAGTAGTAGAGTGATTCGTACGAGTCCTGTTCCAACCCGTCCTCGTACCAAAGACATCGGTGCATTTGCTGGAATGCTGTGTCC